ATATGTGACACGTCTCCAGCACAACTTGCAAGGTACTGCTTGATGACCATAAGTTAATATTGTAACGTATTTCAATGCCAGGTATCTCCCATGTTTTCCATCGTAAATCTCAATAGAGGGCGTTGCGTAGGTCGTTCTGGTGAACTAGGGACCGGGTTGAGTGGGGCTGTGCTGTTGGAATACCAGACCCCTAGACTTACTCCCGTCACCATATCATACTCAAGTATGCTCTAGAGCTCACTATTGTTTACTCTGCCCTTATGTTTCTTCTGGTATCTGATAAGTTTTGTATCTCCGGTTTCCCGGCTCTGTGCTGTTGTGTGGGGCCGTTGGAGTCTGGGGGGACGGTTTCCGGATTGTATACCTGGCTAGGTCCTATGGTATGTTCTAAGCGGGCGTCCGCCGGACGGGAGATAGACTACGCCGCAGTACCGTACATGGTAGAGTGGGAGGGTTTGCTTGGGGCCTGTGTGCTAAGATAGATGGATATGGTAAACAACTTAATGGCTGTTTGGCGGTACGGCTTTCCGTGGTTACAATTATACCAACCATGGTTTAGCTAAAAACTCGCTAACATAATCAGTTTTAAGGGGCCGTGATTGGTCAGTTTACAAGCTTTGTGGTCAAACCATGGTTGGTAACCACGCAAAGCCGTAACGTCAAACGGCTCCTTAGTCCTCTCGCTTGCCTCTCCATTGCTCTAACGTTAAAGACAGTTGTATAAATAAAGCATAAGCAAAAGCACCCTGATCCTTCCATATATCACCACACCTATCTCTATGTCCCCGCACATGTCCATATTCCCCCTCCCACTCCGATGGCAACAATGGAAAGACAAGTCTGTGGAATCCCATCTGTAAATCATTAACGCTCCGCAACAATCCATTATACTCCCAGACGACCCACCAGACTCCTACAGCTTCCCGAAGCAACTCCACTCATTCTATGTCCACCCAGAACCTTTAACACTAGCAGTATGGTGGGGTACTATAACAGCAAAATTATTATAACGGTAAAGTAAAAAGATTAAGGTTGAGTGACAAAAACAGAAATTGGAGGAAACAATACCAACTAATTGTGCGATGTTTCTGATCGCCCAGAAGATCTTAGAGCCGAGGGAAGGTAGTGCCTCGTAGCCAGCCGCGGTGGTTACAGGAATGCTATAAGTTAGATGGTTCCTTTTCTTCTGGGGTGATTGTGATTCATGGAGAAGGTTCTCACGACCTGCCCTTCTTTTTGTTGTCACGGAGGTACTCAAGAAAATGGGAACATGCATGGGAGAAAAAGATACAAGTCGTATCCATGGAAGACCGGGACGACTCTGTTACGTTTTATATATGCCCTTGCGCTTACTGTTATCTTGGGGAATGGCGAACGGAGAACGAAGCTCGCCACCATAACTTCCCTATAGTTACTCCATAATCCTCAATTCCCATTTGCTTCAGTTCACTATGCTGCTATGCTACCGGTATTTGTCAAGGGCCCCAAGAGAAGTGTGTATAATGCGGAAGAGGAATACTACAAAGTGATAGGCGCCCAGATACCTAGACCAGGAAACTTTTTTTTCCACTAACCACAACCCAAGGACACCCAATTATTTAAGCAACGAGGACAATGTTCAGGAAGCAGAAGGAAAAGTAAATTATCAAACTCTTCTATTTCCCCTTTACTAGGGGGGGGGGTGAGGGTAGAGTGTAGATTGGACACTAGCACTATTGCTTTGCTGGAGGGTGTAAAGAAAAAAACCACGATCAATTCCGTAAATTGAGAATAAGCCACTTTTATTCTCCAACTTTTCAAACAGAGAGCTGTAGCCGCCAATAGTCTATCAAATCCAAACCCTCCTCAGTGAAGCGGTTAGTACTCAGAGGATTTTGAACATGAGATGAGAAACCACACACGAGCGAGGCCATCCCATTCGTCATGATTTTTTTCCCAGTTCCTGGAACACAGCCTACACCATCAATCACCATTCGTCCCTCAAGTGATGAAATGCGTGTTATTTCTGGCCATTGAGATGAGGAGAAAATGGGAGGAAAGGAAAACGACGATGGGTATTTAGTTTGCTGTCGGACAATATCACCGTTTGCCAGTCCCGTTTTTTTCTCAACTGCGCTGCTAATCCGTAGCTGATATTGTTTAATCCCATGGTATTCCTAGTGATAGGATAGCAATGAGGTTACTATAATATCTCTTGCTCCACCAACCCCCCCCCCCAAAAAAAAAAAAAAAATTTGCCCCGAAAATATTTCCCCTTTATGGTACAGTACCACAATTCCGGCCCCCGGCATGAGTCCACGACTATGTATATTACTGTATATTATTCAAAAACACTTCCAAAAAAATCTCTCAATTTTCTCCGCAAACGCTGCTTATTGAAATCAAATCCGGATCAGATTTGCATTTCCCCGAGATGGAGCGCAAGCTAATACCCCCGAGCTCTTAAACGCCAGTATGATACCATCAACCCACGGCCATTCCACACGAATCAGGAATCTCAACACCCAAATGCCCGTCCTAGGAAAGGCTAGATTGGTGATGCTACGGTCCGACTGCTCCCAAATGATTCCACGAAGCGTGAGCCAATCGACACCAATATCCACAGAAGTTACATGAAGCGCGTTCAATGGCACCAGCAACGGCAATAACCACATGTAGCTTTTCCAACTCGGAGCGGCATGTAGCCAGATTTCCAGGACATGTCTCTTCATACATGTTCCTTTCCACCTCCCACTCTCCCTCTGCCCCGTCAAGCACTGTATCTTCCCCATCTACCCCCCGCGCCCCCACCGGCTCGAGTCAATTAACCCTAACCGCACGCATGATACGCACCCGGGTAATGAAGTTAATCATTAGACGGACAAGGGTTTCCGAGTCCGGGGGCTCACACTCGTACAGTCAGAAGTATCATGAAAAATAATTTAATTTGGCGGGAGTGATAGTATGGTAGGAAGGGTAAGAAGCTTTGACATCGTGAACCCCCCCCCGTCAGTCTCATCGATAACGTCCGTACCCTAGTAGACACACTATGTCCCTCACAATAATACCCCCCAAAGCCGTCAAAGACCCCCACCACCACCCCCGCTCCATCCATCCGCACAACCGCTCACTCACCCTGCGAGACCTATGATACCAATGTCGGAGGTGGTGGACAATAAATCGGAGATGGAAGATATAAGGTGATATCAAGAAGCATATGAAACGGTATTGATCAAGGAAAGAAAGTGTGTGTGTTTTTTTTATACGGTACATTCTTGAGATAATAGATTCAGCTGAAACCTGCCCTACCGTACTCATGGCGCTCGCAGCGTCTACATACATCAAACATGCCTCTGACCATTTCCCAAATCCCAACGTGCCAAAGTGGTATCATACGATAGGTCCCGATGGGGACATACGCTAGCCAGCTTTCCATCGTCATATATCCGACAAAAACCAAAAGCAAGCGACCCCCTCACGGTCCACATCGCCTATCGACACCCCACTATGGCGAGTAGTAATACTAATACTCACGAAACCAACGAGGCATCATCACACAGTCGATTCGCAGGATCGGACAAGAACCGGCCTGGTCAGATTCTCCGCGCCGATTCGCCCCCGAGATGGCGTCCTCGGTCGTAGTATCATAATCGGACACCACCAACCAACCCCTTACCCGTCTCGAGCTCAAGAAGGGTGCGCTATTGCTGACTAACTTATTAAACGGAGTAACAGCTCATCTGTCGGTCTCAACGCTCTGCAATTTAATTACAGCATGGGTACTACACATTAAAGGTAATTGAGCGTAGTCAGCCTGCCAGCCAATCACCTCATCTTGGCTCAAATTATCAATACCGTACCGCACCGTACCGGTCGAGTTACTTGCCTCTTTGCCAAATAGGTACAGTACAGTACAGTACTTGTAGTCTGAATTCCAGGCTCATCCATCACTTCAACCCCATCTCCTGGCAATTAGTCTAAGCTTAACCGCCTTGTTTCCCGGGCGCCTACCTGCCAATACTATTAATACTAGCCATCCCACGCGACCAATAACCAAGCGCGTAGAAGGTATTGTTAACTTGAGCGGACAATCCTTCACCTCACAACCGGAACCCCCCCCACCAACCGAATGAGGTATCTTATGTAATCCAAGCACGAGCGCATAATTGACAAAACAAGATTACAATAAAGCTCCATTGCGCCCGGTAGACTTACGACGCCTGGGCGAACCGTACAGTACGGTACTGTAGATGTTGCGTGGTGGATATGTTTAAGTGCTGTAATTAAGCTAGCTTTAATTTATTCCGCCAGAGTTGTCAAGGAAAAAAATGGATGCATGCATGGAACATTGTAATTCCACCGCCGACTTTTTGTCGTCAGCAGGTTGTGCCATGTTACCTTTACTGTACGTACCGGTACGGTAACCTACAGTACAGTACAGTACTGTACTTGCACATGTGGTTCGGCAGCCATCATGGAAATACTTGTACTGTACTATACGAGTACTGTACTGTACGCTACGGTACTCGCGCTGGAACCAAAATAAAAAAAATTTTTTAATTAAAAATTAAAAATTAAAAGTACTCCTGTCTCACATTGATCCATAGAAACCCAACGGAACATCCCTCACCCTGGCAAAAAGAAAAGAAAAGAAAAGAAACAAAACCCCTGCAAGCCCCCGAACATCATATCACTGAAAACATGGGTGCTTATTTAACTTAAACTCAAACATCTTCCTTTCATTCATTCATTCATTCATTCATTCATTCATTCATTCATTCATTCATATACATAGCCATCCCCTCCTCCTTCCCCCCCCCCCTTTCCCCCATTCTTTCTCTCCCAATCCTTTAGTTCCCTCTTTTCTGTTTTATTTTCTTTCCTTTTTTTCCTTCTCTTTTCACATTCGTTTTCGTTTCGTTCATTTTTTTTTTTTTCTTTTACCTTTCTTTCCTTCCCTTCCCAACACATCGTCCACTTTTCCATTCCTTCATTCATTCATTCATTCATTCACCACCAAAATGGCGGACACGGATCCAACTTTTTACCAACGCTTCTACCACGCAGCGCGCATCGCCGGTCCCCCAGATCTAGAAAAGGGAACGCAACGTTCAAAGTCCAACATCTCACTGTACGCACCCACCCACACACACACATCCCGCGCATTCTGCTGACTATGGTTTGGTGGGGGAGGGTAGGGATGAAGATACTTGGCTGGCTCGCGAGAAGCAGAAGCGTAGGAGGTCCTATGTGCTTTGCGGGGTAGCCTTCTCCATGGTTTTGATTGTCGGTATTGGGATCGGGGCTTTGGTTGTCGTCGTTGGGAGGGGTGGTTCTGGGAAGTGATTGAAGAGGAAGTGGAAGCGGAATGGAAGGGGGGGAGTTTTGGGTGGCTGGCTGGCTAGCTTGTGGATTGGGAAATGCGACATTTGAACAAATACCTCTATTCTCTCTTTTTTTTTTTCCGGGTATTTCCTACAACTGAACTGGAATGTTTGGATACTCTGTGGCTGGTACCCAGTGGAATTATCATACAACCAACCCAATGCACAAAGACTACCGTAAACAAACAACTACAACTATGCTAGAACATATATATGAGAAGTTTTAAATGTTTTAAATGTTTTTCACCAAATGAATCCATATCCCCAAATCAAAACATACCCCTCCCCCCGAAAAAGAAAAAAAAAGCCCTTGAGCGAAAGCCTGCAAACAAAACACCCACTATAAAACCAAATGAACCTTATTCATCCCAACCACAACCTCGGCAAAGGGGATATATAGCCCATGCGGAGCAGGTATACGGAGATAGCCCCCAAGTATTATATTTGATATTTTACTATGGACTGGTGTTCCACTAACAGGGGTTAGGGGATGAATAGGGTAGTCATCGTACCCAATTCCATGCTTCTGCCTGCGCTAGACGAACCCCCCTTGCTATAGTAGTTAAAATATGACAATATTTAGGGGCTATACCCTCGTAGAAAGTTGAGGGAGGGGGGGGGGGTAAGACAAGCGTACCGAGGAGTGATTGCTTGAACAACATGGAAGATCATAAATTATGATTCGCTCTGAAAAAAGTGAGTTGGAAATTGAGGTAGATAGAGATACAACTGGCGGTTGTTGCAGAGGTAATGATTGAAGCAGGGTTTTACGCAGCGGATGGAGATGGCTCTGAAGAGTATGAGAGAATCTTGTGTTGTATGTGTAGACAATAGAGTGAGTGTCAGAAAACTTTTCACTGCTTACGTATCCCTCATATGAGAGGTACTATATCATACAGTACATACACCACCGTAGTTTCAAGCTTACGGGTGTTTAACTGCCATTTTCAACCATGTGCGGTACCATACCGGTACTGTGCAAGAACATCTGGTGGGCATCCCCCGTTTTGAATAACCCAAACTTCTTCAATACGTCGTACCACCTTGCAAACATTACCTTCGGGTCGTGCGACTTGAAGCGAGGCCGAAGAACAAAAACCGACCGACCGACCGACCGACCCGTTAAAAAAAAAAAAAAAAAAAAAAAAATCTACACAAAAGCCCAAACTCTCCACAATCCTCCACCAGCACCACAATAATCAGCAAGGGTGTATTTCGGTCTACATCGAACGGTTTGACGTCCACTGCTTGCTCAAGCAGAAAGCGGACTGTGGCGAGGCAACGATTCTTCCGGTGAACCCGAGCGTCCGGTCCGTCCGTCCTTGGGTGCGGGCCGGACGGTTGGGGGCACTGGGTTCTTCGGTGCTCTGTGAGGTGGGGTATGCTGCATGCCGTCTAGTCACAGCACCAAGGGCATAGCCATAGGGGACGCAACGGGGGACGCTTTGGCACTCATTCAGCTGGGAAACCATCATGTTGGGCTTAGAATTAAATTCTTAGGGTATCATGAATAATTTTTCACATGATACGGTATGATACTTTGTATATTTCTGTATCACAATCCAAATATGCTATAGTTTTATCCTAGTAATCTCGAACTGAACACCTTTAACCTCACCAGCTCCTAATTTCCAATATCTTTTAAAAAATCACTTTCTTTGCACTATAATATTATTCTATTCACTTTTAGACTATAAAAAAATTACTATCTAAACGATATAAATCTCACCAATGGGTAGATATGTCAATGGTAGAGGATACACGGGTTTAGGCATTCGTTACTCGGTTTGATGCTTCGCCGTATTAGACGCTTTTGTACAACAGCACAATAATATTATAATGATGAGAGTGTGAAATGAAAAGATGAAACAGAAAATATTATTCATTCATACACTAAGAGTTTAATCCTGAGCCCATATTCTGACCAGACAACATGCACCATACTCCCCTCACCATTCCAAGTGATCGGATAGGCGCCACTTTCAATGAGACGCTCCGGCTGAAGAACTTCTCGATTTCTTTCACAATTCGACGGGTCACGTGTAGGTTTTTACCCCAAGGTCTAACAAGATGGTCTTCTCGATTTCTTTCATAATTCGACGGGTCACGTGCAGGTTTTTGCTCCAAGGTCTAACAAGGTAGAAACGGTATCTAGAGATCCTAAGCCTACTGCAAGGGAAAGTGGAGAGCGCCAATCCGATCTTACTGCATTAACGTCGGCACCTAAGCCAAACAAAAATTTTACGACTGCGATATGGCCATTTGACGCGGCAAGGTGCATTGGCGTATTTCCCCAGTTATCCCTCGAATTGATGCACCTCTCACCCATCCTTTCTGCTAGTACTGCCACCGTTTTTTCGTGACCCGCCTCAGCGGCAATGTGGATCAAAGTGGCTCCCACATGATTTGTAAGGTACGTATTGGCACCTTTTCCAATAAGCAGTCGTACAACCTCATCGTGTCCCATGCTTGCTGCGATCATCAACGGGGTACCTTCCCTTGATAGCGCCTCTATATCTGCCCCTAGACGCACCAAGACCTCGACCACACTTGAGTAGCCCCGTTCCGCGGCAATATGTATCGGTAGCGAGCACGGATAGAGGTATGAAGCCTCGCAGCCTCGTCTATTAGGATCAGCTCCATAAAAAATCAACGTCTCGACAATGGTGGGGTCGCCGCTCTCAGCAGCCAAGCTAAGGGGTGTGTTCCCCATCGAGTCAGGTTCGTCCAAGGCTGCTCCACCGGCAGCTAAAAGCTGGATCATCTGGCTCTGCTTCATGGGTATGGCATAATGCAACGGTGCCCTCCCCCTTGCGTCACAAAATCTAATATCTGCACCGTATTCTAACAGAGTGCTAGCTATCCCAGTGTGGCCAGACCGAGCAGCTAAATGCAAAGCAGTAAAACGACTAGAAGCCTCATGGACATCGGGCTGGGCACCATTCTGCAGGAGGAGTTCAACAACCCCGCCATGTCCCGCCTCGGTAGCTTCTAAGATTGGGAAAACCCAGGTTCGAGACAAACTCGAGAGAATAGCGTTCAACCCCCCCACAGGCAGATATCTCAACAACAGATCTAGAGTTGCACTGTGCAACAGATCCCGGAGGTCTTCGTCAGAGCCGTGGCCTGACGGACCCCACTTTATCCGAGAGAAAGCTTCTTCTCCATAGCGGACTCCAGATCTCACGATCTTCCCTACTCTCTCAAGCCGAACATGTGGCGGTGAAGATACTGCCCACTGGAGCATAGTGCAATCGTTGTAGGGGCAGTTTCGCACCCGAAGGCTTCGCGAGTTTTTCATAGCATAATCCAACAACTCCCCGTGGGCCACATCCAGCGGCAAGTGAGGGGGGTGACAGATCCGAATCCCTTCTCCCTCTTTAATCAGCATGCTCAAAAAGTCCCGGTGTTGATAGAAAGCAGCCCAAAGTGTGGCATTGAGGGCATGTTCGCGCCGGATAGCATAAGAATTGAGAATAGTTGTTAACGCCGGTGCCAGGCGTCTGTTACTGCCACGCAGCAGGGCAAAGACATCTGCCGGATCGTGGATAAACTCTTCGACGATATAACATAGGAGCTCAGTTGGAAGAGAGAGGATACTCATATTTGAAAACCTTGTGTGAGATGTCAATTATCGGAATCGAATACTATAGGTATGATAAATTACACGGTGTGAATGGAGTGAAGCGAGGAAGTAAGGAAAGAAGGAGGAAAGGAGGAAAGGAGGGAAGGAAGAGAGGACGGAAAATTTATTCAACGCTAGCGTGCCCCAGTACGTCATCGCCCGAAAAGTTTTTCGCCGCACCGTGCAAAATGAGAACCGAACGATAGAAGCAACGAGAACGTTCCACCATGGTAGTCCAGGTGTTTACCCCGACAGATGCACGATACGAGTACGAGTATCATACGGTATTGTAAACGGTGTTAACCAGCACAAAATCGCCATCGCTTAAAATCAAGCATCAACCACATAATATCTAGCAGAAAAATTCGTTCTATCACAGGTTGGCTAAATCCACACCATCAACCATCACATCTTCCGGGAAACTTTTAAGTTTTTGGCACGGTCCAGGAGGGCTTCTCCACTCAGGCAATGTCTATCATATCATACGCAAATATAAGACTATCATAATAATTATTATGTCCTTCCGGTAAGCTTTTGAAAAAACTTTGGCCCTAAGGGGAGAAAAAAATAGGCATCCGATCAGTCAACTTCTCCGGGTTATACCCCCCCCCCAAAGGGACCAATGTCGCTCCGTTTTGACCAACTTGAAAAATTTCCTTTAAAAGGCCCCAAACGAGACTTCACAGAATATCCAGTTAGCATTTAATAAGTACACCGCTCTGAAGGCATATGTACTCGAGCACTGGTACTCAGAGACATCCTTGACGTCGGCAGATTCGTACGAGTTGTTCGTGATGTCAGCCGAGTGATCACCCAAGTATCATTGGCTTCTCCGAGTCACGTTCCACTCCGGCCCAGGACAAGATCACATGACACGGATATAATTTTTATATAAGCAAGGCTAATAATGATATCTATGTTATGTGTTACAAAAAAACCACAAACACCAGCATGATGCAAAGCAACGAAAATGCAGGAGAAACTAAAAGTACAAAAGAAAAATACAGCATGTTCTCGTAGAGTCCATTAAAGGGGAGATGTACCGCGCCAGATTATATAAAATGCAAAAACGGACAATCGGAAAGAGAAAGAAAGGAGAAAAAAAATGCAGATGATGATAACAAAAAAAAAGAAGCCCACTCAACTGCGCGAGAGATAGCGAGCAGGGCGAAGATATCAAGTATATACCAGAAGAGCAACTCTATGTGCCAAATGGGAAATGAAGAGAGTAAACAAGGGAGAAGATACCGCTCACAATCTCGCTCTGAACTTCGCTGACCCGCGCCAGAACCTCTTCCCTTTCGGCGCGACAACTTGAATATCGATGCAAGAGGTATACCACTCTGTATGCCCCTTCTTCGTGGGACCGAAGTGGTTGCTATAATCCCAAACCCAGTACACCGTGAATGTGCTTCCAACCTTGGCATCCTCTGGAAGCTTGAAAACGCTCTTGCACGCGCCACCACCACCGGCAGCTTTGCGCTGCTTGGCAATCGGAGTATCATTCGTTTCGGCGCACTTCCCGTCGTCGAAGTTACTAGGGTTCGCCAGGAGCCTTCCGCGGCCGTCGCCGCCCTTCCCGTCGACGGTCCATTGCTTGACGTTCGCAAGGGTATCGTCAGGTTTTGCGTTGGCGGTGCCGAACCAGTATATTGTGCCGGGAGTGCCGTCAGCAGCGTCGGGTTTGGAGATGTGTCCGTTTTCCAGGTAGGTGCCCTGGATGAAGTCCCCTGGGGATGCGCTCACGCGGGGGAATTTGGGGGTGTTGGTGGTGGGGTTTTGTTGCTGGCTGGGACGGCAGATGTTACTGTCGAGTTTGGGGGTGGTGATCAGGTAGACTGCTGTCGCGTCGACGTGGCCCTCTGGAAGAAGATATGTTAGCATGGATTTCCTAATATGTGGGTAGCGGGGTGGAGGGAACTCACGATAAGCACGGATGAAACCAATGCCCGCACCTTGTGGGCCTTCTTTGGTAGTAGTGGTGTTTTGGAAAGGACCACTATTACCGCCGGAGACTACCTTCAGACCATCAATCTAGTACATCCGTTAGCAGAACCCTTTCATAAGACTTTGAAGAGGCGAATACACACCCAGCTATGCCCATGAGCACCAGAAATTAAAGTCATGGCAGCAACTCCAGCGAGCTGGAAAAGGTTGATTGTAGGACCATACATCCTGTATTGTCGTATGTGGGCAGGGGATGATTGTAATTCTAGTTATTTTTTCACGATATCCGTTATTCTTCTGCGTAAAAGTTTGAAGATTTGTATCTTATGTATGTGTGTATGTTTAGTGGGGAAGAAAGAGCCCTGTATCCAGAAGGTCAAAAGGAAAAAAAGAAGAGGAAACTAGAAGACTTTCAAAGACCTCCACAAGCAAATATCAAAAGGCCCCAAAAAGAAGCGAAAAAAAAAAAAAAAAAAAAATAGCCCAGAGCTCAACTCCGGAAGTGTGGTGTGTGTGAAGGGAAGGTGCAGGAATAATGAAGTGCAGATGGTGGAGGGGGGGTTGGAGAATGCCGATATATACCACCTCCACCACCACCACGAAGCAATTGAAGACAATGCCTACAGATCCCAAGCGCAATGGCATCCATGCGCACACACACACCCGTGAAGGGGACCCAGGACAATGGAACTAAGTCGATCACTTTCCATAGCAAGGAAATAAAAAGGCGGGAACGTACGGAGGCTCATTGAGGTTTGAGAATAGCCTGGAGCTAGGCGTAAATGGTCTGGACAGCACTGGAAAGAGGAGCTGTCGCCGGCTCCAATGTTTTAGGCAAATATACCGATTGGGACCCAATGGTATCATTAGCAATGGGAGAGATCCATTGGTTGTTTCACAAGGTAAAGCCTCATGAGGCGCCGGCTGTGGCGGCTGAAAACACGTACCGTACAGACTGGAAGGAACCCCAGTGGACAGTAGTTGGAAACACGGTCTGTTAGGGGTATGATAACAGGAACTCCCATCGCGAACGAGTCGATTAACCGATTGGTGTTTGGTGAAAGGAGAGCGGATTGTCGTACCCGGTATAGTACGAGTACTGTACAGTACACGATTGACCAACCACAACCCCACCATTATTATTTTTTCTCGTCCCCTCCAGCCATACGTGGCTGGTCAAGTCCACCAGAATTCCGCAGGATGATCGACGTCACGGATCACATAGCGCTCAGCAAGGTTCGCCTTTAAACGGGTGGACCTAGCTCTTTCTCGAGATCCGAAAATGGTGCGTGAAACGAGATTCTCTACCTCCTGTTCCAGTCAATTACGTTGACCCTACTCCCCAAGTGCCGTTCAAACTAAGCCCATGAGGTAGACATCAGAGTCAGAGGAAGCATTTAGGGTTAAAACAGTTTCTGCACGCGCCTCCCAGGAATCCCCCCTCTCTTCTCCTTCCTTCCCCATTTCTCAACTGGTAGTTACCAGCAAATAGACACATGCGATGAAGGGATGAATTCAACTGTTTCACAAAAACCTGAGGGGCGGCTGTTTCCAAGGCTAGCTTGGCCATTCATAAAGTATCCGGATACCTTGGCATTTATTAATACCTGTCTTGGCACCGAGTCGTCCGAATACCTTATGAATGGCCATGTGAAAGTTAAGCAAATATTTCCTGTTTCCACTTAATTTCATTCATCTCCCGACATGGGAAAGAAAGAGGAAAATTCCTCATCCGGGCCATCCGAGCGGGTATTTTTTTTTCCTCTTCTCCTTCCCTTTTCTTTTTTTGGAGTGGGGGAAATTAAATTTGTGTTTTCCCATTTGGAGCTGCCTACTTCCGTATTAGCGATGTTCTCGAGAAGCGCGCAGTGGTCAGCTAACCGATTGGTTGACTGATTTATTGATCCATGGATAGGCTGGTAACTTTGAAGAAAGTTTCGCCTATTTTGATCGCGTGGTCCATGGTGCCTTGGCATGATCGCCCGCGCACAAGACAGATCTACGGGAGTATAGAGGCGGAAAACACGCGAGCTTCAACCACCAAGAATGCCACCGCAAGTGGTTGTCACCGCAGGGCACCAACCACGTCTGTTTTTTACTTGCTATGGCTTGTCTTGTGTTGCCCGTAGACACTTGCATCACCCCCAAGCGAAAGCTACAAACTGACCAGCTGTCTAGACGAGAGAATGCCAAACCAACCTTCAACCACCAAATACCGGCATCCCTTCAACATGCCATACGGTACAATGCCACTACCCCAGCCCAGCCAGCTCTCCGCACCCCCCCCCCCAAAAAAAAAAAAAAAAAAAAAAAACGAGCCTTTAGCCCCAAGCGCTGTTGAGGGAAGTATTTACCCCCAACCCCCCCCAGGACAAAAATATAAAAAACTAAAATAAAATCCAAACCCAGGTAAAGCACGCATTAGAATGGCGGGACCCAGCGAATCTAAAACAAAATACCCGCCCAAACGAAATCATTAAAAAGAAGTACCCATCATCCAGAAGGAAGCCCCATCCGAGCTGCGCGAAAAGACCTATCCCTAGGTCGTAGGAAAAACATGAAGGGAGGAGATGCCTGGGCTTACCGGTATCGTTGGCGTATAGTACCTTGTTTTGTGGGCAATAGTGGTGGCTGCGGGGGAGTCATTACAATGGTAATAGGTAATGGAGGACGAAGCGAAGTGAATCACTCGGTCTAGTCTTGGAGGCTAGTGATTCATGGCAGCTTGTTATGATGCCTGGGGTTCTGTCTCTGTCGTTTGTGCCCGTTCTTTGTTTTGATGGTCGGTGGGGGTCAGGCAGTGGTAGGAGCGGCTGTGACTCATCTGATATTGGTTGCAAGGCCACTGCGACGGCGTAGGCACTTATCCGTAGCCAATATTATCGCCCACCGCCCTTGATGTGTCGCTTCAAGCTAAGGCGGGACTCGAGTGAGATAGTATGGTTTCGAACCCAACCACATGCCCGAGCTTTCGTTTGGCCTATCGGTATGTTTCCATAGCTGCCTCACTTTCTCAATCGCCTACGCCGTGCCGATGCTTGCCTCGTAGCATCGAGAGTCAAACCCCGCTCAAACGGCTATCTCGTGGGGTAGACAAACACCCCACCAATTACCGCCCCAAATCTATTTATACACCGAGTGATGTTTCATGAACATGATCTTCCCTGCCCCCTGAAACCCAAGTAAACAAAATAGACATGGAGGAAAAAAAGCTCTTCTTACAAACGGACTTTTTGACGGGATTGGGTAATGATGCGGCGTTTGAAATATACGGGAGTGAACGCCTATCGGAGATCGTGAGTGGTGGTGGACTGCCGGTAATAGTGGGGCGCTCGGCGATATAGGGAGGGGGAGGCTGTGCGGCCCAAATGGAAGGATGTGCGATCGCTGTGGTGGATGCGATAAGGATTTTCTTTTCTTTTCGTTGCTGGCAGGGGCATTGGGTGGTGGTTTGGGGCTGAGTGGAAGCTTGTTTCCTGAGTTGTATGACGCGTAGAGAGTGGACCGTGGAATTGGTTTGCTCGGTGCGTTGTTTGCGTGGCGGCCTTTGAACCCGGTACCGCAGAGAGCTATGGATAGGTAGTTGATAGTTCAAAAGCGCTTCCTGGTGCAGAGTTGGTGGTAGGTGGTCTATGTGAGTGTAGAGCACAGGAGAGACAGTTCGCGAGAGTCATAGAATTCAGTTTCATTGCATCTCCTAGCTTGAGAGAGCGAATGGCCACAAGGCCACCGGTGTCCTAACCCACAGTCGTTAAGTTATTGATACAGCATCTAGCCTCGGGCTTGATCGGAAATATTTCCCCCGGGTATTGCCCTCACATGGTTATCCTGAGCTGACAGGCGGGATGATTCCCACCTCGTCACCCGCTTTCAATTCCTTCCCCTCGTTCGTGTCCACGTCAACATACTCCAAGTTGACTGTGACCATGCAAGCTCCGAGAACCTTATCCTTCATTCTTGGGTACCTTTTGTCGAGAGTCTCGAAGAGCTCGGATAACCGCATCGGTGCAGCGAGCAATTCCTCAGATTTCTTTGTATAGGAGCTTGCATAGGCGAAATAGAGAATCTTGAAGGTTCCAGTAGGAGTGGGGCTATTCTCAGCCATATTTAAAACTAGAGGCGTTTGTGTGCGTCGAATGAATCTCGAGGCTCTGCGGGACAATAGCAGATTTTAGTCAGCAGATCTCGCGGGTTAGGGGTAAAGTGCGGAAAAAAAATAAACATTCTCGACCCGCATGCCGGAACCGAAGAAGAAAATCATAAGCTGATTGTCAAAGCCAGGTTCTTGAGGATCATGTTGTATTACCAACAAACCGCAGGCATCAACACCCTCCACGTTCGATCAGAGGTGTTTTCTCACCTCAAATGGATTTTGAAGGGCGCAAGTGGAGGTGAAAAGAAGAAGAAAAGAAAAATTTGACACCCACACCAGAATGTTGTCCGGGAAGCTCCGAGGAAATCAGCGAATTTTCATCTTCAGAAATCATCCGCCTTACTTACTGGGGTTTTTCCAAGCTTTGGGGCGGTGAGGAGATAAGCGAGAGAGGCAAGGACTAGACCCTATGCTTTTCCTTTTATAACATGAAATTTGTTAACATCTTGCACCGTTACTGGAAACTCGCGATACACCCCGGTATCGACCCAAGGACCACCACAGCAATTGCATATGAGTCTCAACCAGCGGAGAAGGCCGTAAGAATCAGCCGGAATGGGTGAGGGGGTACTTACCGGTAAGGCTCAAGTTGGGAAACCCAAGTCTTTATTCACGTTTGTGTATAGGCGATGTTTAAGAGTGTTTGGCGGGGGAGCGGGGAGGAGGGGTAATGGTCAGGACTCAGGAGCCGCAACGAATGTGCCGCTAGTGTACAGTACTGTACAGCGCCTAAATGACCCAGAGTGCTTGGAGGGAAACGAAATGGGCACTAATGTTATAGTACCAATTCCTCGCATCCAAGGTAAATGGTCTCGGCATCAATTGAGCGCGGCGGAGGTTGTTCTTCTCTGTACGGGAAACTTGACATTACTAGTGGGGTTCTGGGGGAGTAAAGTTCAAAGTTCCCCTAACCCTGCATGAGTAGAAGGTAATTCGACATTGTGATATATCATACCCGGGATTTTGCATATGCAGAAGACTTCAGGCAGTACCGTATAAACTTTGAATTGATGTATGAAGCCAGAATATTGTCCAGTCGGTATTGAGAGGAGCGGGACCATTCGAGGGGTCGATAAGATAAGAAGGGGGGGGTGTTACGAGTTTCAGGAAAAGATGGCTTCAACCCCTCCGGAGGCGTGCCGAAAAGGTGCTGCACTCCTTGACGACGGCTCATTGAATCTACGTAGCTTCAGCTGCAAGCTATGTTTTTTTTTTGTTGTCTGTGTTCACAAAGAAATAGTTGTCCGGGACGGAATGTATGCGAGGTTATCTCTGATTGCGAATTATTTTTTCTCCCCCCCCAAGGTCGAGTAAATGCATTTTTTTCTACCAGGGCCACGCAACCACCTTTGAGATATACAGTGTCCGTCTGAAGACTTCAGCCAAAGTCAGGTTCGTCCTCTTCTTCTCTCCCCACTTTCCTGATGCCCAATGCCGCGCCTGCCAGCGCACCCGCCAACAGAAGTGGAGGCGTGGAGGTCCCCGGTCGCTGCTCGGTGCTGCTGTGTGCTTCTGGGCTCACGGTTCTCTCGTAGGAAATGAGTGCAACTCGACGCACAGGCTCGGAGAAGGGAAGGCAGTATCCGTATTTACTTGAGCACAATAATCGGCAACGCCAACAATTACAGCTCCAGTGGGCCAGCTCCACTCTGTCCCGTCTTGCACAGGTCTCAGGGGGCATTTGTATCGGAAGAATGCATAACTGCCACGGCTTGGGTTTTTTTCCCTCCCCAATGTCGAAATAAGAAGGGGGGAGTGGAGGCAAAAAAAAAGACTGCGTGAGCTGTCTAGAGCCGTATGTATTACCTGACATAGAAGCATACGGGATGTGTAATAGTTGTGGCTTTCTAGGCTCCGAATAAGATGCCCTGTCAAAAAAATCAGGTATATTGGGGTGCCTGTCGGTTGAGACATTAATTTCTTTTCCCCCGTTTATCCGTCTTCAAGGGTTGTACCAAGAGAAATCGAGTTGCTACCGGTGCCGCCAATGGACAATAGACTTGCGTGTCCGTGTTCTGCCAAATGTAGGTGTGGGTTTGTTTGCTCCACTCAAAGCACCGTGGGAAACTGTTTGTACAGTACTAGTGAAGAGAGACCTTCAACGGCTTCAGTAAAGCAATTTTTGAACGAAAAGTTACAACCGACAGACAACCTCCGGATCCTCAACAACAAGTTAGGCTTAAGACCTGATAATACAATTATTTCTCCCGTATCATACTCGAATGGATAAAAAAGAAAGTGAAATGGCCTCCTTCACCTCGAGATGGTGCCCTGTGCTGTGCGTGGGCCTTTTCATGACCGGAAAATAAAAAAAATAAAATAAAAAATAAAAATAAAATAAAAAAAAGGTTGGCTGCTAGTTTCGTCATCCTAGACAAGCTTGTAATATCCCCCTCACCCTCCGCCCTCCTCGACGTTCTGCCAGCCGGTCTTTTAGACCTTCTCTTTCCCTACTTCATTCCTTCCTCTTCTCCCCCTTCCTCACTCCTATCTCCCAGCAAGCCAATTCATCATCATCGCCGGCTCTTTTGAACAATAGCCTCTGCAAGAAGGCCATTGAATCAACCACCTTCCATCCATCTTCTATTCCATTGGTGAGTTACCCCCTCTCTCTGTTTAGGCGGTGGGTTTTTACCCCCCCATCCCACTTTGGGCTCACCGATTTGCTTGCATCATGGCTTGGGTTTTTACCCCCGGTTGTATAAATATTTGCATGTTTCCGTCTTTCATTAAGCTCCTTTATCTTACTTATACCTGACATTCTGGTTTCCAATGCTCAGCCGTTTCTTCAACAAGAAGTCCAAGAACGCACATTCCAAGCACGTACAGCAGAAGCCAAAGCAGCAGAAGCCAGTACAGCGGAAGCCAGTTCAGCAAAATCCGGTTCAACCAGTACAGCAAGAGCCGGTTGACGTCAAGCCTGTTGAAGCCAAGCCCATACAAACAGTACAAACGGTCCAGACGGTTCAGACAGCCACAGCTATACCAACAGAGCAACAGCAACCCGAGAAAATGTCGTCCTTCAAGAAGAGTTTGCCAGTTGAAGGTGGTGCTCCTGGTGAGGGTCTCGCCCCCCCCGGGAGAAGACATGGAAAGTCCCAGTCAGCTTTCGTGAGTTCCTGAAATCCCCTGTATTGGCCACTTGGATTCGTATACAGTAGATGTGGCTACTACGGAAATGCTAATTCAAATTTATATAGGCATTTGACAACACCTCAACCTCAGTTGCTGCCAGTCAAATGAGGAATGCTTTGAACGGCCTTGCCGATAGCGTCAAAGATCCCAAGACCAAAGTGGTAGGGACCCTGAGATTGCAAAATAATAAAGTGCTAACACTCCTTTTGCGATGACTAGGCTTTTGAGACTGAAATGGATAACTTCTTTGCTTTGTTCAGAAGATATCTGCAAGATAAGGCCAAGGGCACTACATTGTAAGTTTTGATTTATCACTCGTCGATTTCCGGCCACGGGCTTACACAGGATATTGATTCTACAGGGATTGGGACCGCATCCAGCCCCCCCAGTCTTCCCAGGTTATTCCCTATGATACCCTTCCCAGGGTCGAGGACCCTAAACTCCTCTCAAAGCTTGCTGTCCTCAAGCTTAATGGTGGTCTCGGAACTTCTATGGGATGTGTTGGTCCCAAATCGGTTATTGAAGTCCGTGAGGGCATGTCTTTCCTCGATTTGTCCGTCCGCCAGGTTGAATATCTTAACCGAACCTACAACGTTGATGTCCCATTCGTCCTCATGAACTCGTTCAACACCGACGATGATACCCAGAACATCATCAAGAAGTACGAGGGTCACCGCGTAACTATTCACACCTTCAACCAATCACGATACCCCCGCGTCCTTAAGGACTCCCTTCTCCCAGCCACCAAAGATTACCACTCGCCCATTGTTGACTGGTACCCCCCCGGACATGGTGATGTTTTTGAGTCGCTCCAGAACTCCGGTATCTTGGACAGTCTGCTCGAGAAGGACATCGAGTATCTCTTCCTTAGTAATGTCGATAACTTGGGTGCTGTTGTTGACCTGAGTATTCTCGATCACATGAGGGAGACGGGGGCGGAATACATTATGGAGCTTACCGACAAGACAAAGGCCGACGTCAAGGGAGGTACCATCATTGACTATGAGGGAACCGTCCGACTTCTTGAGATTGCCCAAGTCCCCAAAGAGCATGAACAGGACTTCAAGTCCATCAAGAAGTTCAAGTACTTCAACACCAACAACATCTGGCTCAACCTCAAGGCTATCAAACGTGTCGTCGAGAATCACGAACTTGAATTGGAAATTATCCCCAACTCGAAAACCATCCCCGTCGATAAGAAGGGCGAATCCGACATCTCAGTCATTCAGCTCGAGACTGCAGTTGGTGCTGCTATTCGTCATTTTAAGAATGCTCATGGGGTCAACGTTCCTCGTAGGAGATTCTTGCCTGTCAAGACCTGTTCTGACCTCATGCTGGTCAAGAGTGACCTCTACTCCATGAAACATGGTCAACTTATGATGGACGTCGCGAGATTCGGACCTGCACCACTGATCAAGCTTGGAAGTCACTTTAAGAAGGTTTCAGACTTCCAGAAACGTGTTCCTAGTATCCCCAGAATTCTGGAGTTGGACCATCTTACTGTTACCGGTGCGGTCAATTTGGGTAGAGGTGTTACGCTAAAGGGTATGTTATTGCCTAGCTGTGAATTTACGTAATATGATAGCTGACTGGGTAGCAGGGACTGTTATTATTGTCGCAAACGAAGGTTCCACCATTGATATCCCCCCCGGCAGTGTCTTGGAGAATGTTGTCGTCCAGGGTTCTTTGAGGTCAGTTCTTTGTACTCTTATCTCCCTCGAATCAATTGTTGACATGAATCTAGGTTGCTCGAACATTAGATCTACCGATTTCCACCACGGTTTTGTGGGGCGCTCGATCTATATTTCCATTCTCTACACATTTTCTTTTCCTCTAAAAAATTACAGGCACAAGGTAGAGTGCGGTTGAGTGTATTAGGGCACAGCCTTCGAGGAACTACGCCATAAGCGCATTAATATCTAGCGGTGTTTTTCTTTTATCCTAGATGTCTTTCTCTTTTCGGCTACTATAGGAGAAAAAGGTGGGGGGGGGACAAGATTCCATCGAATGGGATGGGGTTGTAATATCACGACATCATGCTCTCTTTTTGTGTTTGATCATTTTGCAAGCTGCAGTAGCGGAGATAGTAAATTTCTTGTAGCTTTCATCTAGCACACTATACCTGGCTTTTATGAGAGGGGTGAGGACAGTGTAAGGAATGGTTGGATAAACCCTTTTGTGGTGCGTGCTATTTGTTCGAGTAATGATTGGTAGATTATCTCCCGGCACCCGTGGAGCAACGGTTTTTGCAAACGGAATGGTTAAACTACCGAGGTGAGTGGGAGGGTTATGGTGCTATGGACGGATTGCGGTCGATATGATACTTGATAATCGTCTCCCACATTATCGGCTACCGCTCCGCATACTTTCGGAATGGCCCTGCATTGTGGGAAAGGGGAGATGCGAGCCTTGACCAGAATGCTATACATTTAATCGTGTCGCATCATATCATATCATAATAATTATCATACAGTACGGTGAACCTCTCCCGCTGTGGTATGATGGAGTACAGTATTTGTATGCACAGCGGGGAGAATGTCGGGAAGGCGCATACCTTTTGCGGGTCGAGTCGAGTTGAGCCCAGTGGAGGAAGAAAGATGTACGAGTACCGTAGTGTGCTCGAGTGCTGCGCTTCCATGCATATATGCACGCTTGCCGTTTGCGCGGTGTTACTCCCGGTAGTACAGTACAGTACTAGCACAGTATTCGGCAGATGCCGCGAGGAATGAGCGACAAACGGAGGTTTAGTTTGGTACGGCACGAGTTACAATACAATGTCGTTGAGTTCGCGACAGCATGTCATGTAAAGCTCGGTACTGGTTACTGCGCTTCGAGTGTTGCGGTTATGGATAGGTAGGTGATAGAGTGGTGAATGTGGGTGCATGTACGAGTACTAGTACTGGTACCGTAATGGTTTGTTTTGCCGACTGATGTTCCGTGCACTTCACTATCATACCTTTGAGATTAGTTTAACACAAAGTTCAATTCTAGAGTCAAACAAACTTTTGTTTTCCAAGACTATGCTCAGGTGCTCGAGCACAGAACAGACCAATGAACTGACCCAACCTGGTATGGTATACCCGCTAAAGTAACAAAAAAGTGGAGTGCAATGCCTTGCAAAAGAATGAGAAAAAATAGCAGACCAAACGCGCCGGATATGTCGCCGACCAGATTCATGAGCTTAAAGTATTTCGACACATGCAGAAGGAAAAACAGAGGGAGGAAAGGGGCGTAACCGTGATAAGCGTCGCTCATGAACATCAATATATACTTTTTCCTCCTTCGCCAACTTTTAGACTCCTCCATACCCACTTAAGCTTCCTCCAGGCATAATCTCCTCCCTGGCCCCCTCGGCCTCAATCCCGAGCCTAAACCTCTTGATCCTCCTGCCACTCCTCCAGACATACCCAACAAGTGCACACCCCACAACTACGCTCGCTGTCAGAAGCCCCAAATTCACGGGCCGGGGATCCTTCTGGAAGGCTCTCAACGTGAGCGCATCCAGGCCAGTCTGCGACAAGTTCAAAAGGCCAGCAAGGCAAATGATGAGTCCATATACTTTTCCAAAGGTCTCAAAGCCAAAGACTTTAGCTGCATAGTCCGATACGGCGGTGTAGTAGAATGGACGGTAAGCCACAAAACCGATTATCCCAGCTATGGCGACAGGGTAGGAGTCCTTGACGATTCCGAGACTGCCGATTATGGCAGCGAGAACGACGAGGATTTGAAGTATTATGAAGGTGGAATATCGGTCCAGTAAGTAGCCGATTAAAGGCGCTGCGAGGATGCCACCGACCGGCAAGGCGAGGTCAAAGAATTCGTTGACTTCTACAGCACGGCGGTAGCTTCCGAGGAGGAATTCATATTGTGGGCGGATGGTCGCGACAAAGTAGTTGATTCTGGTCATTTGGATCACAGTGAAGAGTGCGATGAGTACGAACCACCAACTACAGATTTGCCGATTTATAGGCATTCCGTGCATAGCGCCCCAGACGCCGCTGCTCTCATGGGATTCTTCGAGTTTCCTATCATGCGTTGCTTTCGCATCTTTCCCCCCGAGGAGTGAGTCAATTTCGTGGATTAGGCTCGAGCGACTCTCGTGGTGGAGGTGGAGGACGTCGTTGTCGCCTTCTACGTAGTCTCCGGTAGCATGGTCTTCGTGAAGGAGTTCTTCTTCAACTTCGGCTTGGCAGACGAGTTCACCGACGGTCTTGTAGCTCCCTGAGGGCATAAGGGTTAGTTGAAGAGTCAGGATTGTCGCAGGTACGATTAGGTAAGCCGTAAACCAGGCGCTTAAGGTGAGTTTCCCATGGGTGTGTTCGTATAGGAGCCGATAGAGGAGGAACACGGCGCTGGAGGAATCGAAAGCTCCTGTGAGCATCGAGAGAATCAAGCCCGAGTGCGGTGGGAAGGCATTCGAGAGGTGGAAAGAGGAGATAAATATGAACGGGCCACCAAGAGCTAAAAGGAGATAGGATATTGGGTAGGCTTGGTACTGGTGTTAGAAATGGTGTCTATAGAAGGTGGGGAAGGGGGTAAGCTCACGATCAAAATTACGTATCTGCTTGGCGAATGAAAAACCCAAGCATCCGAGAGCAAAGAGTATCGATCCGATGATACCAGAGACCCCAGGTCCATACTGGTCCAATATTGTTCCAACCAGCAATGCACAAACATTCGTAGCCACCGCTGCGAGAGTAAACATGAAATTTAATCTATCGGAAGGTCATTAGCACTACGCCTCCACTCTATACAAGCAGGGGGGAATATTCAGAGAATACAAACCGTATCTCTTGCTCGTAACAGACCCTCAAACCCTTCTCGATCTCCTCCCCAGTGCATTTATCCTGATAAATTCCCTCCTTGATCATGATGGGCTTCAACGCGGCATACCCGAACACTATACCAGCGGCAAAAAGGCAGTAGACAATCGCCAGTCCAACTTGTAACAGTCTCTTGCCCTTAGATACCTCGAATGCACTGATAGGTTCTACGCCACCAGGTCCGGAACCCAATACCTCTGATTTTCGTTTCCCATAGGCGCCGTTGTCGGAATAACCCTCAGTCGATACAAGTACAGTAGCGATTGTTTGGTGAGTTTGAGCCGAGGGGTGAAGCCGGTTCTCGGCCAGAGAGGACGAGAGGGCCGGCATCTGTAGGGTGTTCTATCGGCGTTGATGCAATATGGTGTGTGATATTACGAGCGTGAAGTAAGTAGTGATGGCTTTGAACGAGTCCGGAAGAATTAACCTCAGGGGTTCGAGTAATTTGTTTTGACTATTGGAGGGTGACGTAATGTATTGGGGATTCCTTTCAGCCTCCTCTCTTCCCGGCGCCTCGTGTCCGCGTCTTTCTCTTTTTCCTTCCTCACCTTGAAGGATCGTGGGAATAAGTTAGAGAGCAACGAATGTAGGGAAACCACAAATAATAAAGAAAAACCCCTAAGCTGCCGGTGAGTGAAAGCAGATGAAGAATGTTAAGATGATCCACCTGACGAGCCTTCTCGCTCGTTCCTCCCTCCTCCTCCTCCTCCTCCTCCTCCCTGTTTATGATCGCTGGGTGGAAAGAAGAGGTACGATGCTGTATTGTTATTTTTTTTCTTTTTCTTTTTCGGCGCGTTGGAAGGGCATTGGTGTGGAGCTCCCTTCTGCGGGCGGGTAAAGTGCTAGAAATTGGCCAATGGGACGGAAGCGAGTGGAACTACCTGCCTGTAATGGAATCGATGAGTTACCGGTAGTTTCGCTTCACTGGCAAATTATTTATTCCAGGTGAGAGTGAATGAATGAGAGGTTGGGGGAATCCGTTGAAAAGAATATTTTCTTTTATTTTATTTCTTTCCCATTTTCACCCCTAGCTTTTTAGAGATATATGGGATGACTAGGGATTTGGGGGGATTAAGAAATTGATATTATAGAGAAACATCGGGACTCGAGTACTGTACTCGTAGTCTATGGTACGAGTAGTTCGGAGATCATCATTAGGGGTGAAAAAGCGTATGATATTTGTTGTGACCCATTTCCCCGCCATCATTACTCGACTTTTCCCGCCACTCGATCTCGACAGTGAGTTACTCCGCTATGGTGAAAGCCTCGCATGGCGAAAACCATCAACCGTTCTATACCCGAGTGTCGGAATGGTACCCTACTGTAATACGATACCGGTGCTGCATGTACTGTACTGTACGAGTACTCGAGTACTTGCACTCTCTCCGCTCTCCTCTGGCCCTGCAGGCTTCCCCGCTTCCCAATAATCGTACTCGGGGGATGTGGGCTCAAATCATTTTTTTGTGCTCTACTCGAGTGCCCGTACTATTTCGGTAACCCACATTTGTGCCTCCCGTTCATGCACAACTGCACTGACGGCCACAATACTTGAGTGCTGTACTCGAGTACAAGTCCGAGTGCATAAAATTCTCAGGAGGAAAAATCCCCCCGACTCACCAGCATGGAGAATGAACGGCAGGGGAGAAAAAACATTTGGCTGTGGCTGGCAGGTGGTACTGTACTAGTACAATTTGTGGAAGGAAAGGAACTACGAGTACTGTACAGTACCGGTATTGCATTAGTTTGGCGAATTGTGGGTTCGGAATTCGGAGAGCAGCCTTCCGGTCAGGGTAGTGGCATCTAATCTCACAGAACTACAGCTCTAGAGGGGGTACGGTATTCTAATCGGAAGGAGTGGACTACCGGTATCCTAGGAGGAGGAGAATGAGGTCCGAAACCCGTCTGGCACTGTAGCTTTTTTGCCCGCACCGGTAGGCTTATTCGAGGAGCGCAGGGCAGTTTGAGGATAGCGCAGACCCGAAGCGTTTCAATGGCCTCTCAATTCCCGCTGGTTAGTTATCGGCCAACTTGTGGATTGTTTTGCGATCCCCGAAACCTGATTGGTGGTTTAAGCATTGGGATGACAAACCCTCGCTATGCCTAGATACAATTACTGTTCACCAGTAGAATTGTTATCATGCAGGCGCCCGCACTTTATATGCTCCTTCGTCTGATAGAGAGATCTTCAAGCACGCTCACCCACCCTTCACTTGTTTCCTCTCGGCATTATTTAAATGCCGTTTGTGTGGAAATGGTCTCGGCTGCTTTTTTGTATCGCAAGAGGTGGGAGTACCTTGCGGAATTTGTGACACTTTTTATACCTTTTAGAAAGAAGAAGTCGCCCCTTAGGATTTCCAATCCACGTACTGGACAGGCTCAAAGGAGGTTTTGGAGGAATGACGTACAATGAAGACCAGGGGCAGCAGCCAGTGCATTTGAAATTCATCCATGTCTCCTCCTTCCCCCGAGAAAACCTCTTTCGGTCAAGGTTAGTCATTTACTCTTCCCTACCCATTAGTCCTATCACCCGAAGTATCGTGCCAGCACTCACTATAATGATATATATCCAACTTTGAACTTACATTCCTCAGGTCCAAGAACATGCGATTAATTGTCGTGCGACACCTCGACCCGGTCCCCGTGCGCACGAGTGGTGAGCAAAATAAGAGGCCAATGTATTACGTGGAGGCATGGCCGCGATATCATGACAGAGTCATATCAGAATCTCCAAGTCTCTATTCTTGATGAGCGAAAATTCGGGACTAATAACAACGCTTTCGCAGCTAGATTCTCCCTTCGAGAAGGAGAAGGTTATGGGAACCATGTATCCTACTCTCGACATCTACTCATAGTGTCGAAGCGGGAAAGGGCCAATTCTTGGTGGTATGCAATAGCGGTCTTTTCTTAAAACCCTTCGACATTACGAGTACTCATGGGTACTGTACTCGGGTATGGGCATGGATGACCAGATAGCCAGGGACTCTAGATGCATGACCGTTCTACCCTCATAGGAAATAAAAGGATGGACCCGGAATCGAAATTGCTCAAACAAGCAGGAAGCTTTGATACCTCTAATCCTTGGATGTCCGGTCACACACGTCCATACCCGAGCACATTGCGCCCACAGGAATGCTCCCCCACAGAGCTCAAAAACAAGCTTTTGAGCCGCACCCGTTTTGGGTCCCTGCCAAGCGATGATTACCCCCAGGTTTTCGTCCCTCCCTCTCCCCCCCAACAGCCAGCGATCACTCCACACTCTCTCCTTCCCCTTTTGTTGCTCCATGTACGGGTACACATTCGCGCTTCTTCCACAGCCAAACACTTTCCACGTATACATCCACATATTTCTTATTTGGCACCATCGTTTCACGATCGGCCAAAATGGCGCTTGAGCCACCTCTGGATGAAGATGATATACCATGCGCCCGCGCAGAGTACCCACCGCAAGTAGACTTTGTAGAGTATCTTGGACAAGTCAGTGACGGTATAATCTCCTCGCCCCCTCCCCTTGCTATCCCAAGCTAAAGCCTGCCCCAGTCGACAGACCACACAGTTATGCGCGCACTCACGGGTGCTCTACGCTCTTAAACTACGAACCAGTATTCCTGTTCAACGACACTTTCGAAATATTACACGCCCCCCGCTCCTCGAGGCTACAGTACAGGCCAATTGCTAGCATCACCGCCGCCTTTGGCCATCTCTCAAACCCGACTCTTACTATCTATCCCACTTACACGGACAGCCGCTGCATCCCGCAATTCATACCCTTCTCGCGCGAGGAGAAGGCGGCAGGAACGACCAGTGGATGTTATCTGACGGTGTTCAATTCTGTCGTGCAGGTGCCCGGAAAGGAGTTTGGTGTTGTGTGGTTTATGAAGATGAAGGATTGTAGGAGTGAGGGTGGGGGTGCAGATGTGTTTTGTGGAGTTGGAGTGGCAGAAGTGGGGATCGATGGACAAGGTTCGCCGGAGTGTAACCGAAAGGGAGAGCTGGTTTTCGATGTAAACTCTAACACTTCCTTTCCAATGGCTCGGTATTAATAGAGCAGGCGGCTGATACGAAAGTAGGAATTCGGTCCGAGATGGGGCGATATCTCGACTGTCATTCACGAGGGTTACATATACCTTTACGGCTCCGGTACTCCTACTGTTTGCGCTAACGACGGAACCTGTAATGACCCGATCTATCAAGCTTCTCGCCCCACCACCACTGGTGCATCAGGATACGACGTCCCAGTCTACCTTTGCCGCGTCCCCTACCGTAATCGCGCATACTGGCACGCAGAGAACTATAAGTACTGGAACGGTCATGACTTTATCAGCTTCCCGCAAGCATCCCGACCATCTGTAGAATCCTCTTACTATCGGCGGGGAATATTTATACCCCCATCGCCACCAGAGTTTAAATGCGTCATGAAAAACATCCAGAGCGGGACGGTAATGCACGCGCGACTCTTCACCGAGCGTGGACATTTTATCTTTATTGGGCGCGAACTATGTAGTGGTGGTAGTGATAAGAAGGAAGCAATGGTCAAGATGAAACTCGCAGACGAGCCAATGGGACCCTGGTTCGGCGAGGCCTCACTTTTCGACCTCAACCAAGCGGATGGAGGAAGTAAAGGTGTCAAGTTCGGAGTCCACGCTCATTCCTGGGCGAGCAATTTAGGGAATGGTGAAATTATAGTTTCCTGGACAGAGCCATGGCCCGGTGGTGTTGAGATGGCGAAAGTCAAGTTGGTGATGCAGCGGAGTCCTCCTCCTAACGTTATTGTGTCTACCGCTGCCACTGCTACCACTGCCGTTGCCCAGCGCTCGAGACACCATAGGAAGAACGCTAGAGTGGCATTTGACGACTACTTTGACGAAGAGCCTATTCCGGAAGATCCAGAACCTGAACATGAGCCGGAACCTGAACCTAAGGAAGAAGAAGAGGAGGAGGAGGAGGAGGAAGAAGAAGTCGGCCAAGAACAGAAACTCTGCAAGAGGGAAAAGGCCCGTAGCAAAGCATTGGCAAAACTCTCGGGAGAATATCGCAGAGAAGAAGATAGTGACTCCGAGACGCAGAGTGTCTTTGACTTTAAAGCGGTCTTTCGAAACCTAGTGGCACCTCGTTCCGCTTCACCCTCATCTTTTCTCCAGGATGGAGACACACCCGAGGGAAATTCCCCACCGCTGGCTGTGCGCCCCTACTCAGGCTACGACCAACGCATCATTGTCCCAGGGGACATTACCGGCAGCTGGGTCCTGGAAGAGCGCAACCGTGACCGCACCGACGATACCTTCGATAGCCGCGACAGCCAAGACCAGAAAATTGCGAACCTCAAAAGGGAGCTCAAAGCTGTGGCAAACAGTGACAAGCGTATTAATAGCAGCAGCACCAACCCCTTGCCGTTAACAAACAACCAATCCTCCTGGATCAACAACTCTGACACAAACACTGAGCACCTCACCTCTATCTCGCCAACCACCTCCTCCCCTATCACCGCCCCCTCCTCCTCCCCCCGCCGCTACCCTCCGTCGGGTGAGGGTGCGTATCAGAATGCGCATCCATACCCACCGTCTTGCGCCTCACCACCCCTCCCGGATATCGAAGCATCCATGGCGAACCACCCGCTATCGGCCTTCGATACCCATTCCAGCTCGCAGACTACTACTGGCGTGAGGAAGAAGCATCGCGCCAAGAAGTTTCTCTGGGGGGGGAAGAAGACCCAGGAAGAGGCGCAGGTAGAGGAAGTGGTCGGTGATGGGAGCGAGGAGAAGAAGGGATGGAAGAATAGCCTCAAGAGGAGTGCTATTGCGAAGTTCTTGATGGGCGGGGATTGAGCGCATGTGTGGTTTTTTATATCATAAGGTTATGTATCATATGTAGATAAACAAATGGATAGGCAGCCGCATAGGTTATTTATTTATTCATTTATCTATCTATAGACGCAGGTACAAAGCATGGCGAGCTATGCTTGGGGGACAACTCAAGTAAGTAGTCACGCACTCTCCAAGGTATAATAAGAAATCCTTTCCCCCTCCTCCCCCCCTTGGTACCATCCTCTCAAGAGACATAATAGCAAAAGTACACTAAGCGGATGCGCCACCATCCCGATTTGCCCTGCAAATCCACGAGCGCCTCCAGACCTCCCGCAGGCTAAAAAAAAGGACAACGATTGATAGAAGGCACGACGCAAGTCATCCCCGGAACTCGAGCGCGCAGTAATGTGACAGGGTGGGGAAACAGCCACCACGGACCGGACATTCCGCCAACCCGCCACCGGACGTCGGAACCGCTATGTACGTAATGGCGGTAAAGGTAAGGCTAATCCAATTCAATCCCACCATTCCCCCACTCTCGTCATTGGAAATCTAATCGGGCGTTTCGCTAATGTGAGTATGACAGCAGCGGAGTGGCCATTTGCTAATTCTTTTTTTCTTCTTTTTTTTTTTTTTCTTCTTGATTTCTTCTACAGCGTGACTTTCTGCTCCCGTGCTCGGCGTGGTCACTCCCTCTCGCTGGGGAGAATTTGACAGAGTTGGGGGAGTGCGATGCGACACGTGAGACGGTGAATCTCGTTAACGTGTTTGGCTTCGTGAGTGATTTTTCGTGATTGGTCGTTTGATCACCCGTCATAGGGTTTTTTTTTTCTTTTTTTTTTTCTTTTCTGTTATGATACCCGGTGCTTCGGTGCGGTTAGTTGGGGGTGTTTATGTCTGAGCAGGGTTGGAAGGAGAAGATTTGTTGGGATGGATAGTCGTGGTTTTGATACTGCTGTTTTTTCTTCTTCTTTTCCCTATTTATATTCCCGTGATCCTTTGTTACTAAAGACCTTCGATTACAGCAGTATGATATTTACAGATTGCGTCGTAATTTTGGCGGCATAGTAAGTGACTAGACGGTGCGTGGGCATCTCTAGACCACCATTATCCGATCAAACGAGTGATGTTCTGTGCACTCACCCTACTTGCAAGAAGTGCGATAAAGTCAAGCAAGCGCGGAGAGTCCACCACTCGCCAGCGGACAGATCCGGCATAGCACGAAGCTCCCCGCTTTTTTCACAGCCTATATCACTTGACTAAAATGTCCGGGTTCTGGTAAAAAAATAAAAAAATAAAAAACAGTTTTTGGCGGGAGGCAAGGGTAGGTATTATGATATCATAGCATTGGCTTTTTTTAGACAGACACCAGACAAAGCAGTATGACATCACACTCCCAGGCTGTAAAAACCCATTTCCCAGGGCACCCCGATGGATAAGCGTGCCGCAGATCCCCTAGCGCATTGGTAGAAATTCGATTTTCCCTTCCACCTCCTTCACGGCAACAAACGCTATTACCCCCTCCACTCCCCCCCCCTCCTTTCAAACGTACGACACGACTGTAATACCGTATCAAGAAGTTCCTTAGGACACCTCGAATGGCACAACACGATAGAGCGCAGACACTGTAACAATCGTTGGCCTATCTCGAGCCGTTGGTCGTTTAAACGACAATGGCAGGACCTGACTTATGTGCAAACTCCTACTGTAGGAGTCTTGTGGTCTTGCCGAATGATGCGCCATGATCTGCACCCGCTGCTTGTATTATGATATATTTCAGCGGATAGAATACTGCAGAGACTAAACAAAAACACCTTCCGTCGGTCCTTTTTTCTTTCTTTCTCAATTCAACTCGCATAGTAGTGCGCTGGCTGGGGGTTTTTATTTTTATCATTTCCTTCTCGATGGCGTGTACGTGAGAGAAGGTGTGTGTGTGTAGGGGATTGTGATAGCACTCGTACTTGTATAGAGAAAGTGGCGTCTTAGGGGCAGCGAGGTAGTAGATGCAACTTATGGTACCGTATTGAAGATATTTATGGTACCATATTTGAATCAAGAGAAAGAAAGGGTTAGAAATATCACGGTAGCTATCATGTGGTAGAATGAATCGGACCCCGATGACACACGGTATAATACTAACTTGCACCGGTCTTGCAAACAAAAGCGGTAGTGCAAGTGAATAAATATCGGGAAAATACTGAACCGAATGTGTATACATCAATCCCCGACCAATCAATCAATCAAGTATTAACCTTGGCTATAGTGCTAAGGGGAAAAAAAATGAAGGAAAGAAGAAAGAGTAAAACGGAATCACAAATCCCTCCCTCACAAACCATCCAACCAACTAGCCAATCCTAATAATCCCGGCAGCCATCAACTTTTGCACCTTCCCCCTGACAACCGGGTTCTTCATATGCTCGGTAAGCGCGGCAGGGTCCCTCTTAGCTTGCTGTAGGATGCTCTGCATGACGGGGTCGGAAATGATGGCGACGATCTCGGGATCCTTTTGAATCCTCTCCATTGTCTGCTCTTCGGTCTCGCCTTCGCGAGCAGAGTACATCGTTTGCATGGCTTTTCTGGTGAGGTCCTCTATTTCCCTGGTGTGCTTGCTCTCTGTGTCTGCTTCTGTCGCCGCATTGCACGCTTCGAGGCACTTGTTGTACTCGCGCATGGCAAAGCAGGCCTGGGCTTTTCGAATGTGCGCACGCATGAAGCCCGGGTCGTGCTTAATGGCTTCGTCGCAGTCCTTGACAGCTTCCGGGAAAGACATGAGCTTGGTCAGGGCCGCTGCGCGATTGGTGTACCCGCGCGGGTCCTCCGGTGCACGCTTGATCATCTCCGTGTAGGACTTAACGGCATCAGGCCAATTTGCAGATTTGAAATATGCGTTACCCGCTTCTCTCGCTTCCTCGGCCTTCTCCGGGTCGATGTAGGAGACACGATCGCGGTCTGCTTGGGACTTTTCGACCGCGCGGAGTTTCTGGAGAATTTCGGGCGTGCGGTGTTCTGTGAGAGAGCGTTGGTAGTAATCTATTGCTGCGGGGTAGTTTTCAAGTTTTTGGTGGGCGGTGCCGATACGGCCGAAGGCTCTAGTGTTATCTGTTAGCCTGAACTGAGATGGAATGGGAAAGGGGGAGATACTTTGCGACTAGTTTAAAGTCGGCGTGGATTTCACGACCTTCTTCGATAGCCCTCTCACACTCCTTTATGCAGCCTTCGTAGTCGCCTGCCTCAAATTTGGCGGCAGCGAGATTGTTGAGGTATGTGATATCCTTGTGCAATTCCCACGCTCTGTCATAGTGCTCGATAGCAGCGTCAAAGTTGCGTTTCTTGTAGTTCTCATTACCCAGCGCTTTCTCCTTATCCGCTGCCTCCTTAGCCTCCTTCTTAGCCTTGGCCTCTTCGTCCTCTGGCTCTGGAGGCGGAGTCGCAGCTTTCTTTGGCGGTGGAGCCCCGGATGCGTCTGGCATTTCTGTGTCCCCAAAGGATCCGCTAGCCCCCCCTGGCCCGCCAGGACTGTCACCCATTTCCATCTGGAGCCCCAGTAGGGCCGCGATGACCTGCATGATCCTTGGATCGCGCAGCTCGGTCTGGATAAGGTTAGGGTCGTCACGGATTCTTTCTAGCTTTTCCATGAATTCCACATCCTCAAGGTAGCTTGAAGTCCTCGGATTTCTTGCGAGCTTTTCCAAAAATTGTGGGTCTTTGAAGAGGTTTCCCATGCCGAGATCTGCGCCTTGATGGCTGTCGCGAGCGATAGCCTCCTGTATGGTCTTTACTCCAGATTTGGCCTGCGGGTTGTTCGGGTCGAGTTTTAGGGCGTCCTCATAGGTTTCCAATGCTCCAGCTAAAAGTATTGTTAGCTAGCTCCATAAAGATGCGGGTGGGGGATGCACGGCTAAATACCTAAATCGCCTTGGCCATGGAGAGCGGCACCTTTCCTAGTGTGACCTTTGGCCCAGTCCGGCTTTATTTCTGTACAGTGTTAGCTCGGCCCGCCGAAGAGAGGAGCTAGGTCTATACCGATACACTTGACTGCATCCTTCAGGGCACCGTCAAAGTCTTTGATAGAAGCGTAACATGCGGAACGATTCGAGAAGAGAACATGATTTTCAGGATCAACCTCAATAGCCTGGGTGAAGAGGCCGCTGCTATCCGTCAGTCCTCCCAATTTCCCTCAAGACTCGAAAGAGAGGGACACATACATGGCCTTGTCGAAATCCTTCGCAGAAAAAGCCGCGTTTCCTTCGGCTTTAAGCTACATCACAATCAGTCTATTATCCCATCGTGTGATGCCTTGCTGGCTCTCATAGGGGTTTGTTGAAGAAAAAAGAAAACAAAATACCTTGTCGGAAGACATATTGCTTAGTGATTTTCCGAAGTATTAGAATTCAAGTTACAGAGCTGTAAATTGTATTCTCCGGAGGGATGGAACTATCGAGAGTGGAATAGGGGATGGGAGAGATAAGGCGGAGGAGGGGCTTGGAAAAGTGGTGGGATGGTTGCACAGTTATAGCGGGGCAAAGAAAGTTCGAGGGGGTTCCAGAAATTTGTATGGGATAGCCACCACAAGCCAACGGTAAGTCGCTGGAACGGGCATCGGAGGCTTGGGATGTGGGGTTCGAGTGTGAAAGGAGTCCCTGATAACTTCATTAACGCCCCTGATAGAATTCTATTAGGCATACCACTTTTATACTATTATGATAAGAGCGCCAACGCCGTTTGCTGTAACCCGGTAGTGAGAGCACCGTACTGTACTGTATCCTAGGCTAATTATTTAAGCCAGGCCTAGGGATGAGGATTGCAGGATGCCTTCTGTCGACAAAATTCCTGCATCAAGGTTGATGGTGTCATCTGCAATCCAGTGTAATACCGTAGCACCCGCAAGGTCATTTTTTCTTTCGTTTTTCTCATCCATTACCATCTCTCTGCACCTTACTATGATACGTTGAACTTGGTTCCTGATACCGGTATTCTCCCCCTCCATCGATCCCCGCCAAGAACTCTGCCTGCCCTCAGTTTGAGCCTCATCCCGAAACAATGTTATCCTCATGGCTCATCACTCACTTTGAGGTTCGAAGAAACAAAATCTCCCAAATCTGAACGGTAAACTACGGCACAAAAAAAAGCTGGCAAACCCAGATGCCCTCCCCCCCAAAAAAAAAGGCTATCATTGCACTTGTGTTAACTGCCTGGATTTGAGTTGGGGAATTGTATTGTGGCCCACCCCTAGAACCGGACTTGTACCAAACCCAGGGCAGTATGCAGAAGCCCTACATTACCGAAGGCGTTGCTGACGGCATCAAGGGGTAACCCGAAGGCTCCGCTCCTGCCTCGCTCTCCTGCCAATCATGGAAGGCACAAATGCCTTTTGCATAGACCCTCGATCAACTCATCCATCAACCGCCATTTCGCTCTTACCGGTATGCATCTATCGATATGGGGTTCACCTCCGCTCATGCGTCCTTGCCAAGGAATAAGGTAGGCTTTCTCTCCGCGTATGATACGGTATGATAATTTATCCATCGGTACGAGTAGGGATCGTCCGGAGTTAAGGTTCGCCCTTTGATGACATACCGCATCGGTAGGCTCCCAGTAATCCCCGAGGTGACGGTGATCAAGCTGGCATACCGGTACTCTCCTTAGACTACTCGTACGGCACCCGCGGACTCCAAATGTACCGATATCCGGGTATCCTAATGCCAAGGCCCACCAAGCTTACGGACTCTTGGCGCCAAGGTGTCCGGATATCTGAAATTCGCGAGTATCGTAGAATCCTCACACATTCTTAATGTCGGAGAGGGGGACCGCCATTAGAGTGGAATGATAGTGCGAAGAGTTGTACCGGTACTCGGGATGGCAATAGATTCTTGGATATGTTGGGGTTGCCGAACCCTCACAGATGGTTGCTTGAGCTACTATATGAGTATTCCACCAAACTTTCCCAAGCTGGGCTCATAAGCGAAGGAATGTTGAGTATATCTCGGGACCACGTTTTGTACTGTACTTTACTCTACTTATAACTGGTGTGGAGTAACCGCCTTGAACGAATTGATCCCTGAGCCTTTTAATGAGGGCTCTAGAATGGGTTACAAATTTAATTTTTTTTTTATATATTCTTTACCTTTTTTTTTTCGTTTTGATGCGCTGGTCTGCCTGTAGAAGGACATCATACCGGTAGGCACTTGGGCGGACTGTGAGGGAAGGAAAAAGTAAAGATTGTTGAGCTCGATCTCCTTCGGCTGCTGGGGTCAAGTTTTGGTATTGGATCGCAGGCGTTATCCTGTCAACACCACCAACCAAACACCGTCTACTCGTCGCCGCTCCCTGTCATTCCCCTCCCTTCTTCCCATCCTTCCACCTTCTCGGTTTCTGTCACAAGAGTGAGGAAAATTTTTATATTATTCGGGCGTCTCCTCCTCCTCGCGGAATCTCCCACCCCCCACATTCACACCGCCGTATCCACTGTCCTTCATACACTCTTCTCCCTATTGTTGTCAACTTTTTGACACTACCCATCCCGAACCCACTGCTGGTAGATCGTTCGCGAGAGTCATCAGTACGTATCCCTGGTCTTGTCACAGTCCCAAAGTTATCGTCTACAGTATGCCAAGACGGGAATACTTAACCCGGATGCTTGTCGCTGCCTATCAAGGTCTGCCTGCTTTGGTCTTGTTGCGTGGTCACGGCCCCGGGAGAGGGCATGTTTTGTTGGCCTTGTTATCACATATTTTCCCTCATTTACCTCCCTTCTGACCAGATTTTAGTTGCTATTTTCTAGGACTAATTACGCTCCTATTTACACAAGGGACAATCACTGGTACGTTGAAATCGGAAGTGGAAGATTGAGAGAAGAAAAGAACGAGGAAAAGCATCAAATCAAACATGTTTGGGCACAATCCAATTACTAGTCATTCACATAGCCGACAAAGATCCTCCTTGTCGAGTATGTTCTTCTCTGCCGCTTCTGCTGCAACTCCGAGTAAGTTAATGAATGGGGAGGGGGGGGGGTGGGCTCTTCTGGGAGCGGATATTTTAGGAGCCAATATTCCGTGTTTGTTTGTGGTTGGAGGGCTAATGTTTGTTTTGGGATATTTAGGCAACAAATCGGGTGATGGCGATAGGGCCGATTCCGAGGAGGAGACTGTGGTGGACGATGGGGAGAAGAACAGTATGTGATCAAGCAGCCATGGATGTTGTTGAGTTCTGGCGGGTTCAAGGTGGTGAAATCCATGCGGGGGTGCTAATCGAAATGCTCCAGTGCTACTCTCGATAATATCACAGCTTCGACCGGGTGCAGACTTGAGCCGAATTACACTACCGACCTTCATCTTGGAGCCGAAGAGTATGTTGGAGAGAATCACAAAGTATGAAGACAATTCCGTTGGCTTTTCGAGAAGAGGCTGATCTTTTTGTATCGTGCAGCTTCATGCAACACCCTGAAACATTACTCCCGATGAGCGAGGTAGAGGATCCTACAGAGCGGTTTATATCGGTTGTTAAATTTTATCTCAGCGGATGGCACATTAAACCCGCGTAAGCTTTATTTTTTCGAATGCTTCTTGATGGGTAGCCTTGTGCTGACGTTTTCGTAGAGGAGTCAAGAAGCCATTGAACCCTATTCTTGGCGAGTACTTTACATGCTATTGGGACTTTAACGAAACGTCTGGAACCCAAGCTTTCTACATTTCCGAGCAAACTTCGCATCATCCTCCAAAGTCTTCATATTTTTACATGGCCCCTCACCACCACATCCGTATCGATGGTACACTAAAGCCACAATCTCGATTCCTCGGGAATTCGGCCGCCTCTATGATGAACAGCTCTGTTGTGGTCCTCCGGCTGCTTAACCGGGGTGCTGCGGTTGGGAAACCGGATGGTGGGGAAAAGTACATCTTGACCCAGCCTAACATGTACGTTCGGGGGATTCTCTTTGGAAAAATGAAATATGAACTTGGCGATCACTCATATGTCAAGTGCCCCGAATTGGATCTGGTAGCCGATATAGAGTTCAAGGTCAAGGGGTTTTTCACTGGAGCGTATAATGCTATCGGTGGTTTTATCAAGAGGGAAAGCACCGGTGAGATTTTGTATGAGATAACTGGTAGTTGGAATGGTGAAATGTTCATCAAGGATGCTCTGGTGGGTTTGCCATTGTTGTGGACTATGTTTGGGGGCTAATGGGAGTAGACGGGTAAAAGGGATTTGCTCTTTGATGCCACGAACGCAAGCCCTACACCCCCGCTCGTCCGGCCGCTGTCTGAGCAGGATGGTCGCGAATCCCAGAAACTGTGGAATCCTGTTACCTCCGCTTTGAAGAAGAGAGATCAAGATGCCGCAACAGAGGAAAAGTTCCGGGTTGAAGATAGGCAACGAGAGGAGGCTAGGTTGAGGGAAGCCGATGGGGTAGAATGGACCCCGAGGTTCTTCCGAAGGGTTGATCCTGTAAGAGGAGAAGAGGAAGAATTGGATTGGGTTATCTCAACTCACATGTGGGTTGTCCACTGTTGTGGTGGTAGGTGTGGGATATGATATCTGACAAACTTGATTTATAGTGATGGGGCAACGCCCGAGGAACAAATCAAGCAAATTCTCACCATTGCCCCCATACTTACTGGGGTTAGACGAAACAGCAAATATGACATCCCGCCTCATCACTCTCATCACGAAAAGACACTAGAGGAGACCAAAGGAGATTCCAATTTACTAGATGTATCGTCTCACCTGCAACCTGCTAGTGCCGATACTCAGGTACATAGGACACCACAACCACCACCCGCTCTTGAAGTAGACTTGATAGATTTCGGATCGGAGGCTAATGTAAAGGGCGATGGCTTGGGGCCTGCTTTGGTGCCAACCAGTAAAGGAATTGCTGCAGCAGGACGTTTCGGCTCATCGGGTCTCGATGATATGCAGGAACTCGGAGGATCCTTGCCGGAGACAAAGACAGGATCGAGACGCGAAAAGTTAGAACCAAAGCCGGCGGGGAGCAGTATTGTGATAAATGACGACGGTGACAGCGACAGGTTTGAGGATGCAGTGGAAAAGTAGGTTTGGCGATTGGTGAATTCAACATGAACGGGCCGGTACTGGGGCGGGCAAAGGAGCATTGGCACTAGACAATTCACCGAGCATAATTGGCGTAGGCGTGGGGCAAGTATCTCTTTTTTTTTTTTTTGCAAGGAACCTGATGTGTATAACATTGCTATTTGGCTTTCTATTATTGCCCTTATCCCCATATTTTTTTATTCCAATCTCAGTCTTACCCTTGGCTATCGTTTTTTCTTTTCGTTCGTTTTTATATCCTACGAGATTTGTGTTTCGCGTGTAGACTTGTTTTCTGCCCACGGTTTAGAAGCGGGTGGGTGTTGCTAGATGGGGGGGGTACGTGAACCAATGCGATGTGTGAGGGTTGTTGTGAACGCCATGGCGCATGTTGAGAAAGAATATAAAGTTAGATTTGAGTGGGCGATCCGCCCTTGATTTGGCTGTCTGAGGCGGTACTCGGGAACCGGTATTCTGATGCGGTAGGAGGGCGCTTGTCTTCGAGCGATGATGGTCCTGCGAAACCGGCCTGTCATGTGTTACCGGTATGATGCTCGCCGACCGGAGGTCTGCGCGCCAAGCCTCAGAAGACACGCACAAATCTGCGCCCTTGGCGACAAGATTTCCGGCCACTGTTAGAATTGGCGAGCACATCGCCACCAAAGTGCCCAAAGATGGGCAAAGTCACGATTTGTCACTCGTGAATTCCAGGATCCATGGCAGGTATCACACAATAGGACATACCCCGTAGATTACCGTGTGTATCGTGAGTTGCTTTTAAGTCACAGCGAATATCCCTGCTTCCCGGATAGCGTGCAGGTTGGCACTAGCCTCACAATCCACACGAAATGTGAAGAATTGGCGTGCTTGTACCATAGAAGGTGCTTCTAGCGGTATAGGAACCCTGTCGTCCCCCAATAGCGAGGCGATACATATCATACGCGCAAGGAAAAGCGGCTCTGTAAAGTACAGTATGATGAAAATAAGGTGCATGTATCACACGCCCCTGGGTCCACTATCATACCCTACTTGTAGAAGTGCCAGAAAGGTGTTTGTCCATCATACCTAGAATTAACCACACATCTACGATACCATAATATTATTATTATCATAGTTTTGTAGGAGTCCCGATTAAGAACGTCAACAACCCCCCCCCTAAAGAAATCTTTCTTTCTTCGGGTTTCTTTTCTTGCTTGGCTGCTTGCTTTCTTCGAGTTGCAGGTAAATTTCCCGGTGATTTGACATACCTTGCGCTTCTTCTACTTGCCACTAGGAACGATTTATAGGGTTCACGGGTTTTTTTCATTCTCTCTTGGGGGGATTCATGGATTGGTTCTTTGAGGGTTTCTGGATGAGGTTCCCCCCCACTTCCCGGTAGGAGGAGAAGATTGGTATCATAGCATACTTCTTGTCCACAATAGGTGGAGGAAATCTGTTCCTGCCATTGGGGGGGGGGTTAGCTTGTGCACGCCCAGGTTGGAAAGTAAGTTAGTCACGTACCGTTACGAATACATTACAGAACTAACCGTTTGGTCACTGGAGTTTGTATGATATCACTTTCCTCACCTCGAGTAGGAGATTACCGTAAATTCCGGAATTATCATAACAGCCTGTAGAAGAAGTTTTTGGTCTCCCTCCGATGGAAAAATATTGACTTGGAGTATGATGTCGATTGATTGGCACTCTAACCTGAATTGTATTCTATCAGCATATCAAATCGTACCAAATGCTATCATACAAACTCTTATGTTATAAAAAGCTTTATTACCTACTCGTGAAAAATGCGTACATGAGACTTTCACCGCTTATGGAAACATTTATGTCTACTCGGCGAATGTCTTTTTTTAGCAAAAAGATTTTGAGTGTGTCCAAGTTCACATCTATTTTAGAGTAAGGGATAACTATCATAGCTAGAAATTTTCCGGAATATCATACCTTTCTGTGAGGTATGATATGATGTGAGAGGATACAGGGCAGTCACCGTAACCCTATCGGGGCGGATACCTTTGAGGTCTCAAGGGAGGGGACTGCTATGGTACAGTACCTCGTATCATTGGGGTTGAGATTATGGTGCTGTGTGGCGCTCATGCCAAGCTTGTGGCTTTGCGCCACAATCCGGACAGCCCAGCCTAACTTTGTGGCTCAACGAGGAAACTCTGCGGCTCAACATTACATTCGGACCACCATACATTAACATTCTATGGTTCTAGACATCTATGGCATTAACCAAATAATTTGCACTGGGGGGCGCTATGGGATGCGAAAAAAAAAACAAGTCGATCACCATTGGGTTATTTTTGCACTAGTCTGGCAGCCGAATGTCAAGCTGAGCCGCAATCTTATGCTAAGCTACCGGTCAGCACAAGTACTGGCCGCGGGCTGGTGAATCTCACAGGAGTTGTGGCGCCCACGGTTAACCAAAACCTTGGCACGAGTACCAATGCGGGTAGCCAGAAGCGGCTGCTGTATTGTCATATTTTAGGCCGCCAGCGGGCTCATGAGATCCCGTATTATTACCAGATTTGGGAATTGAGGGGTTCTCGCTAGTTAGAATAAGCAACATCCCAATGGCGATGAGAAAGAAGGGCAGAAAGAATGCCTCCGGATTATATCACTGGTCCGGTTCCGCTAGACGTACCGGTAGTACCCTCCAAGCTGATACAACCAGCGCCCTCCAAGCTACTAGTGCTCTTCAAGCTGCTATTACACCCCCAGAAACCCCCCAGGCCACCTCCCACTGGCAAGCTACTGGTGCCTTCGAAGCTTCTAACGTCCCTGAAGGCTCCTCTCACCCCCCAAAGATAGCAGATGACACCCCCGAACAATCTGACGCCACCCCCGCTTCTCAAATGATCCCAGAAGCCTCCAAACAATCCCCCCCAATTCCCTTTGACAAGTAATTGCACCTTTCCGAACCTACCCTGCTCTTTAAGTGAGTACTGTATTGATCCGCATAGATTTGCCTCCTCGGATATCTTCACCATCCGCGCAGGCACTGAACTCCAGGCCTTCCACGTTCACAAAGACCTCCTCGCTGGGCTCTCGGACGAAATGCGCAACCATGTATACAACGACATGAGAGAAGGCAAGGCAAACGTTATGGACCTGAAGCACATATCCCCGGAAACCATGCACCGGTTCATGGAATTCTGCTACTCTGGAGACTACTTATTCCCCCCCGGTGCCGAACGAAAAGACCCACTAAAGTACAAAGAGGCTACTGAAGCCCTCCCGATCCTACTAACGCATGCAAGGCTATACGTCTTTGCCGAGATGTTCAACATTGTCTCACTGAAAAGGCTGTCCGCGGACAAGATCATCGCAATCACACCCCTCTTCGGGAGGTTGGAGGAAAGGGCGCATGGGCTTGCAGTGATTTCCCTGATGGAATTTGTGCTGGATAATATACCCGCCACTACTGAAACGACAGATAGACTGGTGAAGTTCTTGGCGAGGTATTCCGGGTATTTTGTCGAGCAGATCGGGGGGTATCCGGAGTTCCATGCGCTTCTAGCGAGTTCCGCGCGAGAGGACTTTTTTAGGGTGTTTTGTAAGTGGGTGAGGGCGGGGGGGGATAGAGAGCCGTGGACTGATATAGAATGAGGTTTTGGTGGTGATGGGGTTTCTTGCTCGGTGATCTGGATGGCTTTTCTGGACTATTTCTCTCTCAGCCAGAGTGTTTTTCTTTTTCTTTATGACAGCAAGTTAGGTAGCAATTTTTGCAAAGAGTTCGCGGGGGTGCCCAATACAGTCCGGTTATGTTTTAACTACCGAGAGCCTTTCTACCACCCGCCCCCGTGTTCATCGCTCACACTCACGCACGAGGCGTGCAGTAATTTAGTGCGGATTGCGCCGTTTGCGATCGCATTCCGCCCCCCCAGGAGCCCAATGCCAACAATTGAACGTAGATTCCTCCCGAGGATTTGTCGAATGGAATCACAGGAGCAGAGGTCGAACGAGCAGGCGTAGTATTGAAGTCGGAGTGTTGATTGTTTTGCGAAAGGAGATGAAGGCGATTGAAAAGAAAAGAAAAAAGAGAAGGAAGCGTGGAGCAATGCCTAGAGATAGATCTACTGTCAGAAGAGAGTGACGCAAACGGTCACAGAGTGTCACTCGACCTTGGCCCTTTTCGCTCATGACGCAGGAGTGAACCAGGCTATGATAATAATAATATTATCATGATCAATGATAACCACTTCTGTTGCATATACAACCCGCCAGTATGCAACTTTCGAACTGCGGTCCTTGGCCATTACTCCATAGTATGGGTTTAAACCTACTTCCGTAAGTTGATGCCCGTTCCTATTATATTGTATGAAAAATATCATATCCATACCGTGGTATTTTTTTTGCCGGCTGAAGGTCTTAATAGCGACAACAACAATAATAATAACAGGTATCCCGAGTGATGAATCGTGTTCCCACTAATTTCCCAGCCCCCTTCCACCGGAAGACGTGAAATGGCCCGATCCCTCCCGCATCCGGCGGCGGCGGTGGTGGTGCACTTGCCAGTAGGGTAAGATGGATAAATCGACAATGTCGAATTCCCGTTCGATCCACGAGTTTGCGAAGGTGGGATGGTTTTTTTTTCTTTCTTTCTACCTTTTGCTCGTTGGGTTGTGGGGGGTTTTTTTTTTTTCCTCACAACTTGGTTGGGGTTCGGTGGTAACTTAATTAGGGATTATAGTATCACCATGGGGAGAGTGGGAAGGTAAAAAGTTCAATTTCACCAGATAGGGATCAAGAATGGATCAAGATGTGGAATGACTGCCATTGACAAAAAAAAAAAAAAAAAAAAAGATTTGAAGGAAAGGCAGAGATAGAAGAAAGAAGGAAAATTCAGAATGACTAAGCTAGAATCACACAATCTCAGATCTAACACTAGCCGATATAAAAATATCAAAAAAATCCCAAATTAACCGGGAGAGAGAGGTGAAGAAGAGAAAGACCATCCATATTAACCTAACCCCTCTACCTCCACCCCCTCCTGATCCCACCAACCCCCTCTTCGCAATAAACCTCCCAATCCACCCTCCCGACAATGGGCCCCTGGGCAATTTTCCTCGCCTCGAACCTGACACCCCTCCCAACGCCTTGGATAAAGTCGAACCTCCCCTTGGCCCTCAGCCCTCTATCGAAGAAGGTGATCTCCCCGTCGCGCGCCTCGAGTTGGACTTCCCCATCCTCGCCCGCGCGCCCGGCCCAGTAGAAGCCCACGGTGTGGTTCTTGGCGGAGGGGTAGGACTTCAGGCGGAGAACTCCCTCCATCACGCCAAAGTCGACCTCGCCGATGACGGTGTTGGAGTCGGCGTCCTGCATGAGCGTGAAGGTCAGCTCCTCCGCTTCCCAATCCTGGGTTATGGCGGGACACGCCACGTCCCAGGTTCCGAAGACATGCTTTTTTGTGAAGGCCGTGGCACCCGATTTGTGGAGGGGGGATTTGGCGTTGGATGAGGAGGTGGTGGTGGTGGAGGTGTGGCGGGGGGCCAGCGGGGAGATGGAGGTTGGTGAGCTTATGGTAGAGGTGGTGGTGGTCGTAGCGGAGGAGGAGGAGGAGGAGAATGGAGAAACAAAGACACTTCCCTCCTCTTCTTTAATGCCTCCATCCTCCTCTTTAAACACTCTCTGAAAGAGCACCACCTCCTCATCATCGCTCGCAACGTCCATCTTGAAACACTTACCCCCCTTCCCCCCTCCCCCACCGCCCTTCTTCCCCGTCACCGCCCCACCCTTCTCCCCACCTGCACACCTGTCTCCCTCGCCACCATTCTCCTCCCTCTTGGCCCTCCACTCCGCCCGCATGTACTTCTCCAAAAGCTTCATCTCCAGTGGCTGCTTCTTCAGTAGTCCCTCAGTGTACGCCGCCCTCAATCGCTTCTCCAACTCCTGCTTGCTCCCGCTGAGCGGTTTGATGCCGTAGTGCGCCAGCTGTGCCTTGCACCACTTGCCCGTCAGTTTTGGCGGTACCCATGTCTGCTTGCGTGCCGGCCTCACGGGGTTCAGGTAGTGGTTAAGTGTCTTCTTGTCCGCGCGCGGCACGTTGGAGTTCAGAAGGCCGCCTGGGTGGGTGTAGGTAAATGAGCCGGATTTTATGGGTTCTATCATGGTTGGTTGGTTGGTTGGTTGAGAGGTGAGGTGAGGTGGGCTGGGCTGGGGGGAGGGGAGTTGAAGCAGGGTTTTTATGGATGGATGAACGAATGTTACTGTTGTTACCGCCGTGGCGGGGGGTGGGGAGCTGTACGGGAGTCCGCAGATATACTATCACATACTAACGCTTTCGTCCCCACTTTTTCTTATTTATTTATTTATTTATTTTCACCTACAACTTTACTTTCCTTGCAACGGTGAAGAGATGGCTGGTGATTCATTATGCATCACTCGAACAGTTTAGCAAGCAAAGTGAGCAAACAAACTCGTCCTGCATTTCCCTTCCCTTCCCTTCCGCTCCGTCATCGTTTCGTCGCTATGATAGATACATACATGCAGACGGGTTCGGTTCGGTTGCGGATAAACCTCTCTTTCTCTCGAGTCGAGTCAAGTCGAGTCGTGTTGAATTTTGATTTTGGGAAGAAGAAAAAAGTTCGGATGGATTGGATTGGATTAGGATAATGATAAGGAAATGACAATGTGTGATCGATCGTGTTAACGAAACGACAAAGAAAACTCGTTTGTTCAAAAAAAAACCCCTTAATGCCTTTCCCTTCGCATGAGGTTGGTTTGATTGCTGTTGCCCCGATTATGATACATCACATATCGATCTCAAATCAATGTAGAATAGGGTATGCCAAATCGGCCAGATCTTTCACCTCCAGAAAAAAAAATAAAAAATGAAAAAAATAAAAACCGAAAACCCCATCACTGGCACGGACAATTTGCTAGATTACGCAAACTGGGATATCGTATCAATGACAATCCCAACTTAGAGTGAAGAAAGCTTTCTGCTAGACATACCGTCATAGCCTTGTTACAAATACACCTTCCCCACCCCCTCCCCCTTAACAAACGGGAAAATCTTAAAAAAGTTGAAGATTTGACTTTCCGTACGGCTCACAATGACTAAGGGAATATCAAATTATTAGACAAAATTTTCAGAATTCTCATACTAGCTTCGCCACTCCTCCATCTGCTACTAATGTTCTGGACCCTTTTCCCAACGTGCTTCAAAAGGATGAGAAGAAACACCAAACTCGTTACAAGAGAAATGAAAATATTAAAACCGGATTTCGTGCGCCAGGAAAAAAAAAATTACATCTTGGTAGGGACAAGAAACAACCCCCCCATAGAAAAAAAAAAAAATTAAGGCGAGAAAATTAAGAGCAAATTAAAATTAAATAAAACGAGCACCTGGATAGATCTTGGCCATTAAGAGGCGTGCGAGCGCACTTTCAATAGACCCCCCCTTCTATTCCTCGGCGACACACTACTAGCCGTCTCGGAGCTCTTGAAACTGGTCCTCAGAACAACTTTGCCCTGGCCAACAGGCACCACAGTGTCACCTCCATTGCCGGTATCATCGACAACAAACAATCCCTCTCCCAATTCCTCGTCACCACGCAGGCGGTGGTTATCCTTTGCATAGACCTTGAACTGTTGATCGGCTGTGCAATTAAAAGAGAAACTCTCTTCCCAAGCCAATTCACCCGTAGAAGACTTGACAGACTTGCTCTTATGAAGCTCTTTACCTTTATCCAGGGTCTTGAACCGGAGTTGAACGTTAGAATTAGTAGGGAATCCAGAAGCTGCAACAATTCTGACAGTCGCTGTCCCGTGATCAGCGCCTCCGGGTGCTGCACCGGGTACGGAGAGCGTGCTCGAGACGCTTCTGTTCCTGTTATGAGGACTTCCTGCCGTGGATGGGGAATGACTAAGGCCAGTACGCTTACCGGAAGCTCTCTGCCCCGGATCCAAGCTGTCTTCTGATCCGTCCAGAGCTACCAGGCTTCCATCAGGATCATAAGCTGCGACACCGCCCTCACTGATCCCTTTGGTAGCACCTCCGTTTGAGACAGCTGAACTGGGCGCTAGCATTTCCCGATCAATCTCCTCCGCAACGCCATTAGTATCCTTGGCCTTGCGACCAAATGCACTCTTCTTCAGGAAGGAAGCACCCTTGGTGATACCGCCGGCAGCAAAACCGCCAACTTTGAGCGGGGCTCCTGCAACACCAGTAGCCACCTTTCCAGGCGTAGCGAACGTGCCATGGAAGGTAGATGATCCTTGGCGTGATCTGGTGACATAGCCTGATCTAAACAGTAGCCTAAGCCTCAACTCTCCAAATCTACCCTCCTGGCCTTGTTTACCAGTGAGTTTTATCACAATAGGCTTCGGTGTGAAGGGTTCAAGCTGCGTCAAATCGATTTGGCCCTTGGCCAAGAAATCAGCTTTGCCTGCCAAATCCCAGTCAAAAATTTCAACCACGAGGTTTGCGGCAGTCCTTGACGAAACCTTAGTCTCGAAAAATTCGTTCCAAGAAGGATGCAATGTCTTCTTCTGCACATCAGTCTTGTATAATGATTTACCGTCCAAGGCAAAGACACAGAAAGGATCACTCTTGCCGTTCCTGTCTGCGGAGGGAAGATTCGCGGCATCCAAGACGTCCACCCTAAGGGTACCCATGTTGTTAATGCTCTCGCTGGGATCAAGAGTCATCATAACCGGAATATAGTTCAAGCTGATCGTGACCTTGCTGACCTCACCGTCCTTGTCTTTGAGAGCAAGGACCGTCGGGTTGTTCTATTTTTCTTTATATTAGTGATTAAACTCCCATCCCTACAAGCGCAGGAGAATATACCAAACATTGTTTCACCGTCTCCAGAGTCCCACCAGTTAATTTTCCAAGAATTTCATCTTCTTGCTCTCCATCCTTCCCATGCTCTCTCAGACGCAGAGTGACCTTGGAGAACTCGAGCTCTCTAACGAAAGCGTCGCCAACTATTAATGAATCAGTTAGTTCTAGTTCCAAAAAGGTCGGGGGTAAATACATACTTTCGCCAAACTTTGTATCCTTGCTCTTGATTCTGGCAGTGGAATATGCAGGATACAACATATCGTCCATAAGGACTTCAAGGTAGCAGCCTTTATGTGCAAATTGACCCTCGATAATCTTGAAAACCAAGAGTCCAGAATCTACAAAAAAGTGAGCATCATCCTACTTAGGCACTTGCTATTTGGGGATAGCAGGTAAAATACCGTATTTAACCAACTCTTTGGGTGTTAATTTGATCCTAGAAGTCTTCTTTTCATCGCCATCTGAGTCAGAGCCTGCGGCCGCCTCGGCAAGAGTATTCTCCTCGATCTGCGCTTTGGACTTCTCATTCTCAATATCAACCGCACTCTTCTCTACCTTTTGCTCGACAGATTGCTCGTATTTCTCGTTCTTTTCTCCCTCCTTGAGTTTACGCTCCGCCTCCTCTCCCTCCGGGTCAGCGATGTTAAGGCAGGGGTAGAAAGCAACAGTAAAGTTAAGAGTTCCCTTCACTCCACGATCCAACTTCAGGCCTTCACTGCGATTAATCTTCTCACTATGTTCAAGCCAGAGGCCATCTTCGCCTTGCTTGATATACTGGTCACAATTAACATCCAGATGACCAAGCGAACGATCCTTGCCCATATTCTCTTGGTCCATAACCTCCAGCGTCAATCTCTCTCGAGGAGAGTGGACCGGAATATATAGAATCTCGTTCCAATCCGGGTTTAGATCGTTGATGAAAGTGACGGTACGGCCCTTCTCAACTCCCGATAGCAGGACATGCACATATGGGTCGGATTTTCCCAGAGCCTCCAAGTTCCTAAGATCTCTTGCGCTCTGCAGGTGGACTCTCATAACACCGATTGGCCTAATGTAACCTCCAGTGCCTCCCGGAGCACCCTTAACAGCAACAGGTTTCCATTGAGCTGTCATTTTGACTCTCCCAGTCTTTGCCCCCGAAAGATTAAACCATTCCGTACCTTTAGAATTGCTATCAATGAGATCGTCCAGTTTGATCATGTAGGTTCCCAAGAGTGGATTTGCGGCTAGATCACGCTCATCCTTAATTTGAAGTCCCAATTTGGCAGTCTTGCGGTTGGTGACAAGAATTTCCTTGGAAACCTCCCAGATAGGATTATTGTTACGTTTGACTGTCTTCGTCCTGTTGATAGTCTTGCCATTGAGAGTCTGGATGGCGTATGGAGAGAGGAATCCAACGAGACTCTTGCTGGAATCAAGGTCCTTCGCTTGGGAGACAGTGAATCGCAAGATACCAGTGTTGCTCTCTGGTGCGGGCTCCTTTGTTCCGTCCTCCAATACTGCGCCCTCCAGGATGGGAAAGAAACGGAAATCGCACGAAACTTGACCTCTCGCCTTTCCACCAACCATAACTGGCATGACAATATTCTCTTGCTCAGGGTCATCTTGAAGTTTATGCAAGGCAAATGTAGCGATACCCAATTCCTTATCTTTCCTGAATTCGTTCCAGTCATAGACTGTCATGGTCAAACTATCATTATAGTTGTTAATAAGAATATATTTGGTCTCATTCCATTTGGGATTGGCGTCCTCATTGACAACCTTAGTCTTCCCAATTTCTTCACGGTTGTTAATTGAGAACACCGTATAAGGGTCAGGGGTGCCACTAAATTTATCAGGATTCTTGAGACCGTGAGCATTGTGAATGGTGACAACAAGGACACCAATAGCAGTATCAATTGGGGCACCTCCGAGCATTTTGGCAACTTCAACGGTAAACACCTAAAGAGAATTAGCATAATAATATAAATATAAACAAAAAGGGAAAGGGAAAGCCTGTGCCAATGCGTACATTAGGAGCGTAGAACATTGGTCCGAGATTTGTATGGATCATTTCCTGGATGAACCCATTAAGGCCTGGGAGGAAACCGATATCGATACCGAACGTCTCTCCCCCAAGTGGCTTGAGGACATAGTCAAACGTCGGTCTCCCCAAAAAGCACACGTCGACTTTCTCAATCTAGATACATAATAGTTAGTATACATCACCTTAGTTGTAGGAAATAGTAAGACGTACATGGGGGAAAGCAAGTTGAAGCTTTATCTTGACTTTCATTACACCAGAAAATGCCATATCCTCGACGACAATCGGCACCCCCTTTGAAGCAAGACCTTTGCCAACCCGGGCCTCAAGAACGACCTTGCTATCGGAATATCAGTAAAAGGGTCATTCAGGGTACGATAGTTTACTCACGGATTAACTTTATTCCTCAGTTGTCGGCTCGTCAGGTCCGAAGTGTCATTAGGAGTAAAGCTAAATTTCCAATCCATCTCGATAATATCATCTTCCGTCTTGGGATAAGTCTTAACAAACTCGATTCTGGGCGGCTTGGTTCCGAGCGTGAAGGTGGGAAGTTTTAGTGAGTCCAAGAATCCAGGCGTAGCGCCTTCCAAAACCTGGTCCACCACGTTGATAATGGTGACGGCGAGAACCGGTTGGTAAATGGGCCAAAACTTGACCGTGAATGAATTGAGCCATTCGAGAGATTCAACATCGGTATCCAACCTACTCTTTGCAAACTCGCGGGTGAGGTCATCATGAATATTACGACGCACCCGACGGATTGATGTACGATAATAGGTTGCGCAACAAGCCATGACAAGGATAACCCATCCCAGGCCACCACCGATAAGTGTCAGGAACCAGGTTGACAAACACGCAAAACCGATAACACCCGCATTGTGATACCAGTCTTCATAATTATCCGTTAGAACATCCACACATTTAGGCAAATAACAGGTACGCAAACTTACCGCCAAAGAACTTGTCATCCAGCTTGCTCTCCAGAAGTGTCTGATGATCTTCGGCCACTGCGTCATCGAGTCCGAAGGCGTCATTGAGGCTTCCAAATTGTGGTTCCCAACCAGTTCGGCTCCATTCCACATCACCGGCCTTGGGCTGGCCATTTACCACGCCGGGGGTTTTGGGAGTCTTCGGTGCGTCGGGCAAGGATTGCGCACCATTTCTCCCATTTGTCGCACCATTATTCCTATGTGATGACGCGCTATTTTGAACGGCTCGAGTCTGTTGACCACCGATACGAAGATGAGCAAGAAGAATCCAACAAAAAAAAAGAAAGAAAGGGCATTATGATTGAGAGGGAGGTTTACAATATCCGTAACTTTTCCCTTTGCTAAACCCAGTTCTCCAGGGATCGCCTATTTGTAACAATAAGGTTCATGTCATCAGCAATAACTCCTCATACCCCAGCAGGGCCTCCTCATTCCATCAGAGACCAGAAACAGGTGACGGGAGAGTTAGTAGGTTACCTTTGCTGCCTGGGCCGCCTTTTCTTCTGGTGTAGCATTTGGATCAAACTCATAAACCGTCGCCCCTCCTTTTCTCGATTCCTGTGCTAATTCATGCTCCCTAGCCTTGGCCTCTCGCTCAATCTCAGCGGCCGATTTCAGCGGGGCAACGCCTCTGTCTGTCATCCTCTCTTGTTTTATTCAATTGTGCGAGGGCGACAAAACCGGTAGAAGTAAGATAGGCCGGGAGGCACAAATTCTCTTCCTATCTCCAAGGCTTAATGCTCGCGGACTACAGGAAGGTGTTAGGCGACGTCGGTGGAGGGATGCCAAGGAGTCGAGATGCCGTGAAAATTGCAGAATTCAGTGGAAGGTGAAATTCACAACAACGAGAAGGACTAGCGGTAAAGAAAAGGAAGGAAGAGACCAAAGGAGAAAGGAGGGAACGATCCGGCGGACGAGACGAGAAATAGTAACAAGTCGCAATTCAATTGAGAGATAGACGACGTGACCACGCCGAGGGCCGGAATCAGGGCACACAGCGAGGACAATTGAATGGAGAAGAGGGCGACCGGAGGCTGGGTGAGGGGAGGACTCAATAGAGGGTGGTGGGATGAGGTTAAGGGGCGGACAGAGGAGAGGGCAGAGAAAGAAGGGCGGGAAGGTGAGAAAGAGGACGGGTATAGTAGGAGAAGGACAAGAAAGTGGAAGAAGCGAGGCAAGAGGGGCCAAACTCTGGGCTGGGTACCGGGCGAGAGTGAGAGGGAGGGAGGGAAGGAGAGGGGAAACGAAGGGGCAAGCAAGAAGCAAAGGTGGATGGATAAACCGCCTCAGACACACGTTGTATGTATGGCAATGTGTATGGACACTCACAAAAAGGAATCTAGTGGTGGTGGTGGTGGTCACTGGTGGAGCACTTGGATGGCGGCGGTCGTGGTGACGACGATTAAGATAATATTCCAAACAACCCCAAACATCCCCCGGGGTCCCAGTTCCAAGTTCAGCCACCACCAAGAAGATCTGCCCACGCAAGACCACGCTGTGTCGTTCGCTCACCTATTTAAGGGTAGTCCAAAGTACGAGTCCCTGTGATAACGATGCATAAAGACCATTATAGGAAATATGCACCGTTTTTTCCTCACCTTTTTTTCCCTCATTCTTCTGTAGGCCGACCACCCGTATGGCTCTCATTAATCCCACGTTTCGGCAATGGTTTCCTCCCAACCAATTTGCTCTAACAACAACTTTCTACCATCCCAGCGCTGAAGCAGATAAATTTATGGGTGCATCGTACTCGTACTCATAACTCGTAGTCTAACCCCTGTCAGTCATTGTGGGTGTCAAACTCTCCAGTTGAGCAGTTTTCCAACATGATCAACCATGTTCGGGTTTCCAGGATCGAGAACAAATAGAATGTCTGACAATACCTGTACCAGTACCTCATCGCACACACTGATCCACTACCCGAGCATAGATAGTGGCGCCACGGCATTCTATTGCCCGGATCAAGAGAATTTATCTCATACCGGTACTTAAATTTACTTTCGCAAGTTATCCCTCACACGGCTGTGCCACTCAATGAAGTTGCAACATATCAAATGTGGCTCTAAATATGATACGGCGTCTACTGAAGACCGGGCATTTTCTGCCAAAGCTCCGCGGTAACACAACATTTCTATGTCACCCTCACTCACCACCCCCTTCAGACACCTACAAGTAACTTACATACCGTGCGGTACTCTACTCGTACTGGTGGTGGCTTGATCCATCATACCCACGCGAAAAAATAGGAAAATGGCGTAAGCGAGGCGAGGCGTGGTTGACAGGTTGGACACTGTTACCGTACTGTTCTCTGCTACTCGAGTACAGTACTCGTACCGGTATGGTTCCCTCCACCTTTGCGTCATGCCCCTCCCGAACCCAAGAAAACGGACAAGCGGCACTGACGACAACTGCTCAAGTATTTCAGCATTTCAGCCCTTCGATCTGCCCCATGTCCCCTGTTCCGGCAGGAAGAGCATCCATGCCAGGGTAGTTGGATATGATATGGTAGGTTTAAGAGACGCAGTTCTGCACCGCAACTCCATCACCATCTCTCCCATCGAAAAAGAAAAGAAAAATAACCCCCGCCTGGGCAACCCCTTGGAATCCGGATCCAACAATCGGAAGCACGGTAATCGTCACAGTGGCAGAGAAAGAGAAGCAATTGTCCCTGTATTTGTGCCACACGGTCCCCTGCGAAACGGCCAGAAGAAAGGTGACTGGAGAGGATACTGAGCACTAAGGGGGTTACCCGGTCAACATAGAGTACTGTACTGTACTCGTATCGTGGACGAGCATATCGCAGCATCCACCCGAGTACGGGGGAGCCCACTTGTCTCTTGAAACAGAATCCGCTAAAGACAAGATATAGTCTACCGGTATTCGAATCGCTGCAGCTCCTCTGCGCTCCTACACACCCACAGAACGCATCTACGAGCCTTGCTTGATATTTCAAGGGATAAAACCCACACCAAGAGCATCGCCGGCACAAGGCCGATCCACACCCCTTCCCAACAGGATTTTTTTTTTGGCTCCCGTGCGCACAAACATCAGGAGTCCAGATGGATACAGGTACTATGGTATTAAGTTACATTCTCAACACATGTCCTTCCATTTCCTCTCACTCAAACCACCAGAGAGATCTGGAGATAGTCCCACAGCCCCAATGCTATAATACCGTATGGTCTAGGAATTAGTCTTAATGCAGCATGTACCCTTACCACTTTAATTAATATATTCTCAAATTACTCAGCCAAAACATTCTTTTCCCAAACAAGTGCTAACCCCTGACTCCACCCAAAATTTGCCTCAACTGTAAGATCTATTATCAGAAGAACCACCCCCTGGAATGAAATCTGCTCTGTAAATGTGTGCTCCATATGTTTTAGGATCATTATACAGAAGGGACAATTTTTTTTAAAAAAAATGATATAATATTATGACGTTGCTCTTACCCGGCGAAAAGTTAGGGAAATTTGGTTGTGGTGAGAGTTGCTTCTATCATTATCTAATGCGCCGGCACCACACCGTATCATACTCGTACTAGTACTTGTGGCATGCCAAACAAGGCCTAGATATCATAAATCTCCCTTTACTCGAGTAGAGAAGTGCTGGGGTACTCGAGTGCTCGTAGATAGACATCCTGTTATGATGCGTTGGGACCAAGATTTGATTAATTACTGTACCTTGTTTGGCAACGCAGGAAATTGTTTTCCATAAAAATCATATTCCCTCTGCCTACCGGTAATGCTGATATGCGTCCAAGACTCCACCAAAAAAAAAACTTGTTTATTCTTGAAGGAGAAAAAATTAGCACCCCCAAGATTTTCTACGGTTGCGTTTTCTTGGTTAGAAGCTGAGGAATTATTTTCTTGGGGGCAGGTGAAAAGTTGGATTTTGTTGGTATCATAAAAATATACTTGTATTGCTGCTATTCTACGGCGAGGGCCCAGTGTTAGTTGATAGTTCATGGCATTCTGCGAGCGGGCGTTACCGGTCCCAAAGTGAGGCTTCACCCGATGCCGGTACAAGTACCGGTATCTGGACAGCTTGCATAGAGTAGGCACATAGCTTGTTCTAGCAGTGGAAGTGTCTGAGATTCTAGAACCTGAACCGGAGAGGGAAACCTCTCAGATCCTTGTCTAGAATCTGGTCGGTGTACTGTACCTGGTGCCTTTTTTTACCCAGCCCGCGAGATCGATGTGTGTACCGGTACGGTAGGCTATTTCTGTTATACTGTAAGCCAGCTGGTATCTACCACCACCACCGCACTTGGGTAACAGAGACACAGTTGTCACTCTGTTCTGGGCCACTTTCCCACCTAGCTTTCGACGAGTGTCTTCTTGGACACCCCCACCACACGATACAGGACAGGGAAGGGGTGGGGTGTGGGAGGGAAGGAGAGATAGGATAGACGGAGAGGGGAGGAGAGGAAAAACGAAATACTCGAGTAATGTGAGCAGGGGCTGCATGCTGGCACCGTCGAATAAGATTGCGGTGATCATATCAAGCGGCGGGATTGGTGGCTTTCGAGCAGTGGTGTAATGTTTGATGCATATTTCGGATTCAAGGTATTTTTTCTTCCAAGGAACCGTCCAGCGCATCAAAAAGTGGGGAGAAAATGGAAGGGGGCCGGATCACTGTTAATACACGAAAAATAAAATAAAATTCAGAAGAAGAATGAGGCTCAGTAAATAACGGCGAAATTAATTTTTTTATCACGGGCTCGTGCATTTTCCACGCAAGTTGGAAATCCCCCCTTTACCAGTTTCTGTTTAGTCTGTTGGGTTAGAAAAGGGACTGGTATTACGGTCACGTGCCTCCAGCTCTCCTTTGCCCATCCATCCATCAGTCAGCAAAAAAAAGTAAAAAGCTAACTCGACCGGAAGGCAAATCCCAAAAATTCAACACTTCTTCCAGCCTGTTCAATTGCTCAAGTCCACGACATCTTTATCATACAAATTTGTTTTTTTCTTTTCCCTTAAAATCCGTTCAACCACAGACTCCTTTTCACATATTCACACAAACACACACACACACGCACACGCACGCACCTCTTGGAGCGCATTCCTCTGCCCATAATGAATCTTGATAATCTTCGCGACGTCGTTCAGAATATTTCTTTGTACGATGTCAAGGCAGCCGTTCGAAAGGCTCAAAATGGTGAGTTGTTTCACTTTTATCCTTGCCCCCACCCCCACCCCCTTTTGACACCATCGGGATGCTTCGGGCTCTCGGGAGCTATTTCGGCCCGAATCGATTGCTGATTCTCGTTTTCGGTAGTCGTCATGAATTACACTGAGATGGAAGCGAAGGTATGGCTTCCTAGCCAATGCTATGTAGGAATGGAGAGGGGTTGGGCAGGAGATGCATCTCTTTAACACAAACGATAGGTGCGGGAGGCAACAAACAATGAACCATGGGGTGCATCGTCTACACTTATGCAAGAGATAGCAAATGGGACATTTAACTAGTGAGTATCTGGCCTCTGTGAACGCTTGGCGGTTTGCCCAGACGAGAGCTTAATTCTGGCATAGCCAACTCCTGAACGAGATTATGCCCATGGTCTACAAACGATTTACAGAAAAGTCTGCTGAAGAATGGAGGCAGATTTACAAGGTAAGTACCCTGCCATTATAGTTTTTGGAAGCGATAAAGGGGCTGACTGGCATAGTCTCTTCAACTCCTTGAATTCCTTGTCAAGAATGGCTCAGAACAGGTTATCGACGATGCTCGCTCCCACCTCTCGACTATCAAGATGTTGCGCCAATTCCACTTTATCGATATGGCGGGCAAAGATCAGGGGATTAATGTCCGTAACCGTGCTAAAGAACTTGCCGACCTCCTTTCCGATGTTGAAAGAATCCGTACCGAGCGTAAGAAAGCGCGTAGCAATAAGAACAAATACGGTGGAGTTGAGGGGGGCGCTGGTCAATTCGGGGGTTTTAGCGGGGGGATGAGCAGTGGCGGCGGCGGTGACAATGGGTTCGGACGACGGTATGGCGGATTCGGCAGTGATAGCATGGAGTATGGGGGCTACTCCGGAGGTGTCTACGGAGATGGCGGTGGGTTTGGGGGTTCTTCTGGATTCCACGATGAGGGGTCCGGAAGCTCCAGGGCTGCCTCGAGATCTCAGAGGTTCCAGGAATATGATGAATACGATGACGGTGGTGCTACCGCTGGTAGACGCTCTGCACCGCCGCGGAGACAAGCTGAGCCTGTCAAGCCTCCACCAAGGAAGGAGCCTGATGTCGACCTATTTTCATTTGGAGATGAGCCAGCGCCTACAAAACCCGCTCCTAAACAAAATACCAAGCCAATTTCCAATCCCCTCGATGATGATTTCGGCACTCTGCAGTCTGGGGGGGCAGACGATGACGACTTTGACGATTTCCAGTCCGCTGATCCCGCGCCTGCTCCAAAACAACAGCCTCTTTCGTTTACTCCTCTCCCTGCTGTTACCACAAGTGCAGCATCTGCCAATCTCATACAACCCAAACCTGTGAGTGCTCCCCAGGCGGCTGGCCTCAACGATCTCGTCGGCATTTCCTCCATCTCCCCAGCTCAGCCTGCGTCATCCGTGGCATCCCCATCCATAATGACACCTGCAACAACCGGCGGTGGCCAAAGCGGCCTAGGCGGTATGGGAACGGGCATGGGCAACATGGGGGCAGTGGGTGGTATGAGTGGAATGACCCCGATGAAGCCCGCAAACGTCTCCTATCAACCCACTCAGCCAAATTACTTTACCTCCGTCCCTATTAGTATCAACAACAACACCACCCCACTATCTCCGGCTTCCACTGGCTCCTCGACTCAGGCTAAGAAGCCCACCGGCGACGCCTTCGGTTCATTATGGAATACCGCTGCGAAGGACTTTAAGAAGCCTGCAACCCCAAGTAACACGAGTACTCCAAGTCTCCAGGCCATGGCCAAGGAGAAGGCTAGCGCTGGTATTTGGGGTGCTCCAGCTCAGACTTCGCGCCCAGGATCTTCGGCGACGGCTAGTAGTGGGAAAACTGGCGGGAACGTGTTGGATGATCTGCTTGGGTAATTGGCGTTACCTTTTCTTTCTTTCCCTGGTGGGAGCGGTGGTTTTTTCTATAAAACAACGATCTGGTGAATATCCTTAAGCCTTTCAATCGGTCGTTTGTTTGCTGAATGGTGAGCGAAGAAAACATTGATTGTGAGAGGAAATAAAAGAAGGATCAAATCTTGGTTTGTGAGAGTTTTCTTTTTTCCTTCTTTTTCCTAGGGAGGGTACTTTTTGTTTATTTTTTCTCTTTCCTACTACAAGTTAGCCTCTCTCTGTCCTGTCGTGATGTCGTGATGCGCTCTCTTCCTCCTTTTTTTACATATAAAATTCAAGTTTCGGTCTTCTCTTCTTGGCGGTTGGATAATTATATAATACATTCATGGTCTTGCTTCCCAGGAATGGAGTGAGGCGTTTAATTGCTATGGATGGTCCCCCGCCCACCACGCCGACGGGTTATCCCCCGGTTCGGTAGGCAGTGCGGGAGGGTATCCAGGGCACGATGCAGTGTCCACCCCACCCAGAAAATCGGGCCGAGCTCGACCCCCCCCCGACCCGCGACATCGAGTGGAAATGCGCGATTTAGGGTCCACTTGTACTTGAACATTTGTAATTTGAAATTGGCAGCATTTCACAACACCGCCCTCCACGACTGTGCTATAGATTTATAAGACTAGCACGGTGGGTGCACGGGTGGTGACCTACCTTCCCGATACCGAATCATCCCAGATAGCGAACACAACCCATACCAGGCAGAGCAACCAAGACCTCGGAATAGATATGGAGTGAGCGGGGCGGCGTTCTCCCACTCTAGGCCCGATCCGCCACGTCCAGCACTGGTGTCAACCGGTATGATACCAGAATACTTATAGTTAGTTGTCTCGAATACGAGTGATTGTTTTTGATGCGAGGATTATCGTCACTAGCTAGCTGCCTACTGTAGTTGGCGAGACAGTGTAGACTTTTGTGAGCTTGCAGATCAAGTGAGTAGGATGAAGGTCGTGTCTCGAGGATGGTGGTGGGCTGGGGGTATTGTCATAACGCTGATGAATTAGTTAAAGTGACTAAGCAAAAGTCGTGATGATCGTCCCATTTCCCCACCAAAAATGGGCAAAAACCTCACTTTTCGATCATCTGTATTCATTGAAAACCGGATCTCCTTTTTCCTAAATTCCTGATTGAAAGTCACTTTATCTCTATGATATCTCATGATTAATTTGAAGTATATCCATGATCAACTGAAGGTCCTACAAGCTTGTAAAGTTCTGCTATTGCTTAAAAAGTCAGCATTATTGTCACAAACCGGATTGTGACAAGGCAGATTGATGAGGTGGAACAAAGGTTTTCACATGACTTGTACTTGTAAGTCATAGGTGTTTATTGTTATGTGATGACTCACAGTTGTGAGTTATATGATGTTATGACTTTTGCGTGCAACTCATTCTTATGAGTCACAAGTCTTATGTATGTGATGCACTTAGCATGGATAACTTATTATAGGGATAATAATTAGTTTAGGTATGTTGCGAAGTTGATTCATACAAGTCAGCTGAGGATCTCAGATGAATTACGATTTTGAGTCATAGGATATGATGACATGAAGGTATGAGTCACACAGAGTCAGGGTTAGGTAAGGTATTTGTATAAATGGTAAGGTCCAGGGACCTTTGGTACACCATGCTCCGTCGCTCCTATTTTCCTCCCACCTAGTTTGGCAATGCCACGTCAACTATCGTGGGCCCCTCCCACTCCCCTCTGTCCCCTCGATAGTTCCTGCCTAGGGGCATGGTTAACTCTTCCGTCCCCTCCTGCTTTGGCCTCACTTGTCCCTTGTCTGCTGGATGGGGGAGTTATCTGGGCTTGCCCAGTAGTCCTGTTTGGCGAATAGGGGCTTGCTTAGCTTTGGCACGGTCGGCTTCCTCTCTTCGTTTCCAGATGGCGCTAGCAGTGGTGGACATCCTTCTCCCCACTTGTACGATTCCCATTGGGGAACGCCTTGGCTAGTAACTTCGGGGTCTGTCTCGCGGTGAGATTTGGCCATACCCTCCTAGTCGCTCAGTTCAAGTCTGGTTGCCTTCCTCACCTCACCCTTCCACCTCCCTACCGCCGGTGGGATCCTTTCTACTAAGTGACGCTATCTCTCGGAGAACAAGGGACTATATGAGAGACGTGGTAATACGGCAGGTTTGGTTTCGGTTGGGTCAGGACTGGGGCCTTGGGCCCTTCCTCCCTTTTTTCTCTTCGGTCGCGTCAGCTGGTACCCTACTACTGTCGGCTGGTACCCTACGACCTCTCACTTTGTTGCTACTTCGGGCAGCCCTTTTGGCCCTCCTGGACAGACGGCTTGGGGCTCTTTTTCTGCCACTACCTCCTACTTACAGCGGGCGCTTTTTCTGTTCGGTTTCTCCTGCTTGCGACCGTGGGCTATATGTCCAAGACATACGTTTATGTTACCTATACGGTGCACCTATTTGTTTTTTCGACTTCATGGGCGAAGCCTGGCCATTGGTTTGTCCTGATGCGGGGGGCACAGGTTGGGCTGGAATCTGGTTGTTGTAGGCGAGGGACTGGCTTTGGCCTTTGGTTTGGGGTTACTCTAGTTTGGGTTTTTCTCTGTTCGGTGGGGGGTGTACTGTCGGGATGGTGGTTTTCCTTGCTTTGAAGGATGGGTTTCTGGGCTTTCTGTCTTTACCGTTTGTAGATAGCTGTGCGGGAGACTTGCGGGGGAGTTTTTTAAACCGAGGGCTGGTTGGGTGTTGGTGGCTCTAGGCGAGACCCCTCCACGCTCAAGTCGTGGGCTCTTAGGGGCGGGCACCTGGCTGCTGGCGTGTGCCTTTCTGGGGCCACGGTTTTTCTTCTGGCTGCTTGAGAACAAGGCGGGGTGGAGGTGTGGGTCTGCATGGCAAGAGCTGATATGATCCCCAGCCTTACTTTCATTAAAACGGATAAATAAATAAGATTATAAAAAAAAAAAAAAAAAAAAAGGACCTTTAGTACAGCACGCTCCGTCACTCCTATTTTCCTCCCACATAGTTTGGAAATACCACATTAACTATCGTGGGCCCCCCCCACTCTCCTCTGCCCCCTCGATGGTTCCTGCCTAGGGGTACGGTTAACTCCTCCATCCTCTCCCACTTTGGCCTCGATTGTCTCTTTTCTGCTTGATGGGGGAGTTATCTGGGCTCGCTCAGTAGTCCTGTCTTGCTAATAGGAGCTCGCTTAGCTTTAAAATGGTCAACTTCCTCTCTTCACTTCCTGGTGGCAGTGGTGGACGTCCTTCTCCCCACTTGCACGATCCCTGTTGGGGAATGCCTCGGCTAGTAACTTCAGGGTCTGTCTCGCGGTGAAATCTGACCATACCCTCCTAGTTGCTCGGTTCAAGCTTCAGTTGCCTTCCTCACCTTGCCCTTCCGCCTCCCTACTGCCAGTGTGATTCCTTCCACTAAGTAACGCTATCTCTCGGAGAACAAGGGACTATATGAGAGATACGGTAATATGTCAGTTTGGTCTATGGTTGGGTTTGCACTGGGACCTTTGGCCCTACCTCCACTTTCTACTTTGGTTGTGTCAGCTTGCACCCTACTGCCTTTCCGCCTTGGCTGGTACCCTACTACCTCCTCCCTCTGCTGCGTGGTATTCTGGGGTTTCGGCCTGCTGCCTGCCCGTGGTCGATCTTTGGCTGGCATCCTACTGCTGGGCGGCATCCCCTCTGTCAAACATCCATTCCTTGGTCCTGGCACTGTGGCCTCTATTCTCGATTAGCAGGCCATGGTATTGCACTACTTCTGTTGCTTAGCTGGTTGGGGGCAGTTCTTTAAATAACGGCAAATCTGGTGGTACGGTAGGCAGTGGTTGTTTTCTTTTGTGGCCCCTACGGGTCTAGTAGTTTACGGGATGGAGTTTTTCCTTATGCTTTCCTGCCTTGCTTGTTTGGTTTCCTTCCTGTTGGTTATGTGTAGTTAGTGAGTGGGGTTTTCTTTTGGGAGAGGAATCTTCTTGGGCTTTTGGTTGGCTTCTAGGTGAGACCCTTTTGCGCTCAAGTCGTGAGGCCTGCGAGATGGGCACCTGAGTTGATCGCCCTTAAAGTGTGTGCGGTTGGGCCTATACCAGAGGGTTTTGAGGGTACGGGTTTTCTCTTGGTCTGGTGTGGAGGGGTTTTCTTAATGCCATAGCTAGCGCTGCATGCGATGTTCTTGTACCTTAAACAAGAAACTAAATGATTATAAAAAAAAAAAAAAAAAGTACCTTTGGTACACTACGCTCCATCGCTTCTATTTTCCTCCTACATAGTTTGGCAACACCACGTCAACTATCGTGGGCTACCTCCACTCCCCTCTGCCCCCTCGCTAGTTTCTGTCTAGCGGTACTGTTAACTCTTCCATCCTCTGCCGCTTTGGCCTCGCTTGTCTCTTGTCTGCTTGATGGGGGAGTTATCTGGGCTCGCCCAGTAGTCCTGTCTTGCTAATAGGGGCTTGCTTAGCTTTGGTATGGTCGGCTTCCTCTCTTTGTTTCCAGACGGCACTTGCAGTGGTGGATGTCCTTCTCCTCACTTGCATGATCCGCATTGGGGAATGCCTCGGTTAGTAACTACGGGATCTGTCTTGAGGTGAGATTTGGCCATACCCTCCTAGTCGCGTGGTTCAAGTCTGTGTGCCTTCCTCACCTCACCCTTCCACCTTCCTTCCGCCGGTAGGATCCCTTCCACTAAGTGACGCTATCTCTCGGAGAACAAGGGACTACATGAGAGACGCGGTAATACAGGGATAGGTTTTGGTTGCTTGGGTCAGTACTGGGGCTTTTGGCCCTTCCTCTCTTTTTCTCTTTGGTTGCGTTGGCTGGTACCCTACTACTGTCGGCTGGTACTCTACTACCTCTCCCTCTTTTGCTGCTTTGGGCGGCCCCTTCAGTCCTCCCAGACGGATGGCTTGGGGCTCTCATTCTGCCAATACCTCCTGCTTACTGCTGGTGCTCTTTCCTTTCTGTTTCTCCTGCTTGCCGTGGTGGGCTATATGCCCAAGACATACATTTATGTCACCTATACGGTGCACCTGTTCATTTTTTCGACTTCATGGGCGAGGCCTGGCTATTGGTTTGTCCCCAGCGAGGGGCACGGGTTGGGTTGGTATCTGGTTGTTGTAGGTGAGGGATTGGTTTCGGCCTTTGGTTTGGGGTTGCTCCGGTTTGGGTTTTCTTCTGTTCGGTAGGGGGTGTACTGTCGGGATGGGGGTTTTTCCTTGCTTTGAAGGATGGGTTTCTGGGCTCTCTGTCTTTACCGTCTGTAGATAGCCGTACGGGAGACTTGCGGGGGAGTTTTTTAAACCAAGGACTGGTTGGATATTGGTAGCTCTAG